GGATGAATGGATATACACATATAAATGTACGTGAAAGCTCTTACTAAACTAAATGGACTAACGTTTTTAAAATATATGTTATTCTGTATTTTTTGGTTAAATGTTTCAAAACACACTTCTTAGTGGTTTAGTTAGGATGTGCATAGGTGTTAACATTTTGTATTGTCTGAAATTGTTGATAGATCAATTGAGATTATTTATAATAAGGTTATTCACCCCACCAATAATTTATAAATCTGCCAACTTTTATTGTTTCCATACTTTTGTATTACTACTCTGTAAGCAAAAATGACGGACAGTAGTCCTGGTCAGTACATGCACGGTACACCTATCTTAGCACAGAACCATTAGCCTTGGAAAATCATACACTTGTATGCTTTGACTTTTTGATGATATTGTATTGTCTCTTTGTGTGCATGCCTGTTAATATGGAATAGTAACATTTACAAAAAACATGTGCAAACATTTGAAAAGACTGTGATGCTAAACCTGCCACATCGTTTTTTTAAACAACAAACCTCTAATGCTACAAAGAGCCTTCAGGCTTCTGTTCTGCTCCAGGCCTGGATTATCAAAATTCTTGAATTAAATTTAGAAGAATGAGACAAACCATAACAATGCAATTGTGAATAGAGATTGTAATGTACAGTGGAGGGTCTCGCATACCCATTGGCTATCAAATGCTTTATGTCTGTTTTAGATCCAGCCAATGTCTGTCCAACACTCAGAGGGAAACAATGTTCTATTGCTACAGTACTCGATCCAGTCTGATGTCCACATTTGGTGTCCTATTCCAGCTCTTCATCGACCTCGGCCTGGACAGTATACTGTTACTATCTTTGTGTTGTCCGTGAAGCCAGGCCGAGCTCACCATCTACATGTCTGTGAAGAACAAGATCTCAGGTGCCAGGTCTGTAAAAGTGGAGAGGATGTCTGGTGAGAAGCAGATTAATGTTATAGCCAATGTGTTACAAATTACAGAAGAATTTGAGTATGTTCAAGAATGTCAAGTGTTGTAATAATAATTTGCCTAGAACTGTAAATAAAGTATTGCTTTTTCACCTCTAAATATTGTGTGAAATGCCTTTGTTGAAAAAGGAGTGGTTAACATTTCTGCCTTGCAGCATTTGGTCCATGGTTCAGTTCTGGACCTGGGGTGCTATTTGTGTAGAGTTTGTATGTTTGTATTGTATGGCTTTTCTCCTGGTGCTCTGGTTTCCTCCAACAGCCCAAAAACATGCTTGTAGGTTGATTGGTTTCAGGAAAAATTTGCCCTAGATGTGAGTGTGTGGGCGGTTCTGTGTTATTGACTGTGTCTTTGTGTCTACCCTGTGACAGACTGATGTCCCATCCGGGGTGTATCCTGCCTTGTGACTGTTACTTGCAGAGATCTTGTTCCTTTCAATTGGATGAAGCAATTATAGAAATAATGGGTAGGGGTGATTTTTCTATTTGCTGTATTTGTATTTGTATATGTATTTATTTGTTAGATATAGAGATGTGTATACTGTATAGGGTTGGGAGAGATTTCTAAAAGTTATTGTCCTGAATGTTTGATATATTTTTTATTGTCGTGACATAACTGATTAAAGCACCCTTGCAATGTCAAATTTTGGCTTTACTCTATTTGTGATTTTAAAATTCACAATTTTAAAAATCCCACAAAATCTCTCTATGGGTCCAGTTAGATATTAAACAGTTTGTCATGTCATGTTACAGAAGGTATAGAATAACATATACCAGTACTCCATGAAATGACTTTTTTAATGGACATTCTGTACCTTACTCTTTATAATACTGCACATCCAGAACCACTTTGTGAACATGCAGAATTATTTGAAGCCTCATGCCAGAACCTTTGAGTTAGAGAGCAGAATATCCTCACTTGGATCATCCAACAGCAGAGAGAAAGGATTTACTTTAATTATATTTTCATCAGAATTGTCATTACTTTTCCTCTTGGGTTGAAAATCCTTACTCTTGGTCTCAGACTAATAGAATATTTCTTAATCAGGAAACTTTCTAAAGGAAGCTGATGGAGTCTGCTAGCAGAATCTATATGTTACTCTGTACCCATATACTGTAGTGGTAGGAGCTGTGAACTCCTGCTGAATTCACATGCTAAACTCTAACCTTCACGCTTGCTTTAGCACAGATACTTCTTCTTTCCCTGTACTGAGCTCCCATCCTCTGTACTAAACTCCTGATGGGGACAGCATGTTTATACTAAACTCCTGATAAGGAAGGAATATTTTAAGTGCTTTCTGAGTCCTGGAGTTTCTTGAGAAAGCTATCTCAAAGACAGGAGGGGGAGGGTGTAGAGAAAAGTATATATAAGCTATGTAAAGCCATATCCCCTCTGAGCAATATAATAATAAGCCTCAAATGTGTTGTTCCTTGAATGCACACAATAAAGCTTGGCTTGAGGAACGGACACTTCAGGCTCAAATCTCTTGGTTTCTACAAAGCTGAAGAGTGTTTTCTATGTAACTTAAAGAGTTTGTGTTCATCAATATCACGTACAGTACATGTTGGGAATATGTTGGGAAATGTCCTTTTTATGAAAAACAATAGTTTTGCTCAGTGTTGTTGTTACAGTAGCTATTTGATTTGATGTCTCCTTTTCCATCTGAATCTGAAAAGTCACTAATTACTTTCTTCATACTTAACTTTTAGCTTTAAGAAAGTCTTAAGGCATGCTGACTAATATTGCCAGTTTTAAGAAACAGCGACATGAAAAGACTTTATGACTAACTCCATGATTGCTTCAGACCAGCTGTGGCACTGTATCAGTTTGGGTTAACAAAACACAAACTCGTCTTTAATAGGATTAAAGGATATCACACATGGCAGTAAAAGCGAAGTGCTGACATGACAAAAAAGGAATTAAATCTTGCCTGCTGAGGGTAATCCACTGTTCTGCTCCTCCTCATTCAAGGTTACCCAGCATGCAGATAAGGTACCCAAGGTGGGTGAAAGGAAACTGAACAAAATTCAGTGGTCAGGGCAAGGTGAATTTCAATAAACTGAAAAACTAAGCTACCGCTTTGAATTTTGTTGACAGTAACTGTAATTCTTCAAACTGTTCAGTATTGAAGGAACAAGATTTCCTTTATCGCTGGTAGATTCCTAGCAATAGTTAATACAAAACAAAAGAATGTGGGAAAAGTCAATGGAAATTGTTCTATATTTTGTCATAGTTAGGTCAGGAATTGCAACCCAGTAGCTGTTTAACACTTGATAATGATCAACAACGTAACAGTAGAATTACTTTTGCCATGGTGTAAGCTCTAAATAATGTGGTGATTTAACCAGATGAATTAGGAAACCTGGTGGAAATCCAGAAAGAACACCACAGAAAATAACAAATGTGTCCCACTTGTCAGTCTTCCTCCCCCTCTAATTAGAGACTAGTCCGAGTCACCTCAGGTGACAGAAGAGGAGCTAAGTCCTTTTTAGATATTAATAAAGGTCACCTCATTTGAGATTATTGTGTACAACAGGCCAATTAATAGGGAGGTCCAAGTTTGATGGAGTGGGCAGGAGTGTCTGATTCTATAGAACACCTGTAGTAATTAATGGCAAATTACTGCACAAAGCACACTGATAAAAGTTCTGGAGCCTCACCTCCTGTAGGCTCATCTCCAAAGACATAACAGCCAAATGTGGCTACCCTAGATTGCCCTTTTCTTCTTGGCCCTGCAATAAACACGCATCCCTCCTGTTGGTAATCTTTTTAATTATCATAAAGAACCCAAGTAAGTTGTAAAAATAAAATAATTACTTTGTGATTTATTTTTCTTACTATAAGTAGAATATTTATTAATCCTATTCTAGAAGTTCTACATGAAATGAAATAGCAATTTTCAAACCAGTTTTGGATAATTTGGCTGTTAGTTTAGTAGTTCATTTTCTTACTGTATTACTGTAACATTACTGTTACTAATAATAGCAATTTGCTGTTTGAAAGGTATGTCATATTACACTGCGGTAAGTTTAGAACGTAGCACCCAACCCAGTTTTCACAAGCTCTATAAGAGATACTGCTGTACTGGCACTGTTCTTATCAAAGCTAAAGTACTTTATAGTTTCTATATTCTTGTGTTGAATATACAGTACAGTAGTTTGTGTGGGTAGCGACTGTGAAACTGGGTGCTTTTTTGTGTGTCAATAGGAAGCCAATGATGTATGGTATCAATAATGTATAAATTCAAAATAAGTGTGTAATTTGTTCAATTTCTGGCATATGTGATACAGTATGAATTAAATTTTCCTAATCTATTTTGGTATAGATTGTCAACAGCTTGCATGACTCATTAAACACACTGAAATGAAATTTGCTATATCTTAATATATAAAGAGCATGCACATAAAGTTGCACCAAAGTGCTACAACCTGTTAAAAATGTAAGACCAGTAACAAAGTTCTTTATATATCGTGATGTTCAGTTTATGAGAATAGCAACCATGTTATTCTTAAAACTGTTAAACAGTCGAGTGTTATGAAAGTAATATTCAATTCAACACACTTTAAAAAATCAAGAAGAAAGAGTTTCATAAAAGACACTTAAACCTGCATTTTTGTTAAAGTATTAGTACTGTATTCAGATTGTATACCCTGATCTTTAAAAGAATCACACTGTTATTTTTGTACTTTGCATAAGCTTTTCAGATTTAAGCAATTATAAAACTTTAAACAAAAAAAAATTGTCCATCAGACAATGCAAGGCTGTAATGTACATTTCTTGCAATTATTTTATTGCTATTGATGCGTTAACATTATTGTGTTAGGCAGCGTTGTTGTATTAAAAGCAAACTTATACTGTATGTTGCCCAGAGAGGATGCAGTGCACATTGCTTCACAAAATAACACACTACCAATTGTTTCTTCTTCTGTGTGCCACAGCAGTGTAGCTCATTCATATTTATGAGCTTCCACTCAGGTGGGGGATAATGGTGACTTTGCTCTTGTCATTTTCATCTATCTCCCAAATCCGCAAATCCTGCACAGGGTCAATCCTTGACGAGACAGGCAGAGCCATGCTGCAGCCCTTCAATAATATTAATTCTATCCAATAATAATTAAAGACAAAATTTATGATTTTGTTTGAGGGGGCAATTGCATGCCTCGTGATACGGATGGCCTTTTGACCACATGGGAGAATGACATCTGATTCTAGTTGCCTTTGCCTGCGAGGAATTATTGTGACATGTAGGATTCCGTAAAATAAAAAAGGAGCAGTTTGATTTGCTGACAACTAGCATTAGGTGAGTGGACCTTTATCAGTGTGTTCTTTCAATTGATTTTACCTGTACATTATTTGATGGCTCTTCTCTTTTTTAAATGTAAACAGACTTTTACATCTACGGTTATTTGAGCCAGGCTTACAATGGTAAGTCTTGTTGCAGTCTGAAATTTTGTTTTGTAAATGTAAATTAGATGTACTCATTTCACTCAGTGGTAAGAAGTAAAGCCATTCACAAGTACCTGAAGTCTGTGACTTGCTACATGCTGTAGTTGAAATAGTTTCCTTTGGAAAAGTAATAGAGATGTGGTAGTTTTAAATATGGTCCAGTTCTGGCGATGATATCTAGGATTGTTTTAAGGTTATAATTTTTTTTTCAGTATCATGCTCTTATTAAGCTTCAGAATAATTTAATTTCTGTTAATCTGTTTTAGTGTTTTATGTTGGTACTGTAATATTGAGGATCCATTTACTTTCTTTCTGTAATCCATCAAGTGTATATATGTTCACTTTAAAAATTTAATTTCAGAATACCATTATATCTTTAGATCCTTGCTGTAAAGAAATAGACATCAATAATTTAATGCTGGCTATTTCGACTCCTAGCAGCTTTTTCTAATCCTGAATTCATTATTTTGGTGCAATTAATCTCTCCAGTACCAATTGTACACTATATTCTTAACCACTATATTCCTTGAGTACAATGATGTATAATATTAATAAAGGCCTTCAGTTTAAATACATTTGTAACATAACTTTTTCTGCTTTACATTATGAGGGATTTGAATTGTCAAGGATATTTTGTTTCTAAGATGGCAAATTCTGTCAACTCTAGATAGATAATGCTTTGATATGTACTTGTGAAGTCCCAATAGAGACCTAATAAGATTTAAGCAGACATAACCTGTAACAGATGCCAAAACCTAAATCAAGTGCCATGTGGTAGACTAATAAAATGACTGGTGACTCACACCTGGTAACACATCTGTCCTCACAGTGAACATGAAGTTATGAAGAAGCAGTTTTAAGAAGTTTCAAAAGATACATGGATCAACCAAGCATCTTGAGACTTTTTAAATTACATGAAGCAACTTAAGCTAATAGAAGTTTTTAATCATTAGACATGCATTATTGCTAGAACACCATTTTCGGACTGTGCTAGGAATTCCTATAAGGTAAAACAGGGACATCTCTATAGTAGCCTGGAGGTTATGTTTGAAACAGATCCTACAAAGTTCTTAGTCAAATAGGCAGATGTTGATATACAGTATATCAAAATATTTAAAATATAACTACTTTTATTAGTCCAGCTCCTCCTACAGATGATTACATTAATATAGTACCTATTAATATATATTTTTAATGAAATGTCAATGTGTGCTGAATTAAAATATAATGTAATATATATTATACTGTATATAGTATGTTTAGAATTAGATGCAATTTTAAAATGCACTAAATACATCTCTACCTCTGTTCCATCTGGGTTAATCATAACATTGGTTTGAGTCTAATCTAAATGTGCTTGTTTATATTGATAGTCTTGTCTCTGTGTAACTCAATATGCAGTATACAAGTAGAAAATAATGTATTTAAAAGAAATTCACACATACCTGTATTTTAAAAATATGTTGGTGTGTATAATAATACAATACTATAATTACATCTGATATTGATATCTTCCTCGATACAAAAAACACATGTAAAAGTGTTTGCTTAAATATAACTAAAAATAAATTAACCTGACTATTTTCTTAATTTTAAAGTATTTCAAACATTTCTGAGTTTTTACAAATAATGTGTTTTTATGCAATCCCTTTTACAGGTCAGCTTCACCATACAGTACAGTATCTACAACTGCATGATACTCAGTGTAAGACTATGGCATATTTTGAAAGTAACCATATACTGTACTGTACTGTATGTCTCGGTTATGATATCATTTAATACATAATAATGTCTTTCAAACAGATTAAACTGAATTTTCTCAATTTTATTATTTTGAAATGTACATAGTGTACAGTTGCTTCAATAAAGCTAGGTTAATCGGATGAAAAAATGTGCTTAATGGACTGGAATATTTAGGGTTAGCCTAACTTACAATAATAGGATTTGGTATTATCTGTCCGGAGGTAGGGTGCACCTTTCATTCTCTCTGTCGTTGTCACTTGTGGACTCGGGTCATGAAAGCCAAAAACCAGGATAAAAACTTTTGATTGTCAAGATATGCCGCTAACACGTTCAAGGAGGAGAATGAAAAGAAAAAAATCCCTTCCAACACTGTTACATGCGAATGGCAAACTCACAAGGCACAACTTGCACCATTTTTGGTAAAAAATTATTTTAGTGCAGCCTTATGTGGTCAGCAAATCAACTTCTTGGAAACTACTGTACATGACCACATTATAGTAACAGCGATAATCATTTGTATCCATTTACCCAAACAACAGCAGAAAGGCCATTTGTCCCATCAAGCCCATCTTGATGTATTTCTCTATTGTTTCATAACCAGTACTGGTTATACTGGGAACAAATATCACAAAAATGCCTTGAAACCAAAAAATGGACAATTTATAGTAGCCAACCAAACTTAACCTACATGTCGTCATGTGGTACATGCAGTATATGTATTTGTGACCCAACAGTAACAGTAACAGAATTCTAATCCTAATCCTTACACAAGAGACGACTCTGCTCTCATGCATTGTTATGAACATTAACCTGCTGTGTCTCTTAGTCACAGGATTATGAATTTTATTATGACATTCTATGTGGCCTCTGTTAAGGTGTTTGGATTTTTCCTACTGCCTTAAACCTAGCCCACAGAAACCTGGAGTTCTGTAATACAGAGAGGCAGTGCAATGTGGGACGATGCATGTAGTAATGATGCAATGCTGCTGTGCCACCCCTATAGTATCCACGTTTTCTCATCCAGAACTTAGTTTACCAGTTGTTAATCAAATGCAAGTCTGGTTCCCTGCTAATTCTTTGTGCTTTGCATCATTACCAGTTTAACAATTAATTATATGCTAAGGGGCAGACTGATAAATATAGAATACACTGTCAAATCAGGGGAACTCTTGTACAGAATGTGTCTTTTCCTAAAATGTTTTATTAAAGAGACACTCTTGCCACATTTAAGTTGTTTTTTACTTAACAAAGTTCAGAGCATAGGGAATTAAGCAAATAACACAAAGTAAATTAATTTAACATATTCACAAGATACACTAGTCCCGGTTTTAATGCTATGCAGAGGAAAGCTTAATCTGATATGTGGTAGCCATTTATATATAGTAGAAACTAAAGAAATATATTTCCAGGAGAAATGTTTGATATTTGGCCAGCAGCTAAGCAAGGTCGAGTCTGGTCAGTACCTGGATGGGAGCCCACCTGGGAAGCTATGGTTGCTGCTGGAAGCGGTGTTAGTGGGACCAGCGGGGGGTGCCCACCCTGTGGTCTTTGTGGGTCCTAATGCCCCAGTATAGTGGCGGGGACACTAAACTGTAGTGGGCGCCGTCTTTCTGATGAGATAATAAACCGAGGTCCTGACTCAGTGGTCATTAAAGAGCCCTGGGCATTTCTCGATAAGAATAGGGAGTTATCCTGGTGTCCGGGCCAAATTCCCCCCCTTGGCCTTTACTGTGGCCTCCAAATGGTCCCCATGTATGATTGGCTTGCACTTGCCCTGTGATGGACTGGCGCCCTGTCCAGGGTGTACGCTGCCTTGCACTCTTTGCTTGCCGGGTAGGCTCTCGCTTCCCATGACACCGTATGGTATAAAGTGGTTTGGCAAATGACATGAAATGTTTGATATTTGAGGAGATTTTGCCTCCTGCAAGCAATTCATCATGAGGTGATGCCTTGATTTGAGAATTATCTCTATCATGACTCCCTTATGGGTCTTGATGTGGCTCAGAAATCAAATCTAGAGCACAGACACACACGTGCAGGAATTGCAAATGTTTTTACACAGGTGGGTTGTCCTCTGGATGAAGTTCCTTTCACTTTCTTTCCTATACACTTGATTCTTGACTTTGAGAATGGGGACTTTTCTTCTAAAGTGAGCCTGGAATGTCATTGAGGTGATTTGATTTGTCCCACACAGATCATGATGTCCACATTTTTTTAAAGCATACATTTATCCCTCATGTAATTATTTTTTTACCACAGTGGGTCTGACTGACTGGTCTGGGAGTAGAATAAATTGAATCAGGTATCTGCATACTATACTATGTCCAGTCCAGTGAAAGTGGTACATAAGGACCATTGCCTCGATTTTGGGTTCATTGGCTTTAATGAACAGGTGTTAGCTCAGTAGTCTTCCCACTTAATGCAGAGGACCTTCCATGAGCATCAGTGTTGGTGTTTCTCAAGGAGGTTAGTGACATGTTATCTACAAGAGGTTTGCAATAATGGCTGCATTGGGTCATCTGAATTTCCTGAAGTATGCTGATGGAGTGCCTAGGTTTTCTAGATATGAAATGAGGGTCCAAAACCCTTGGTAGGCTTCTGCAAAATTAGAATGTACTGAAGATTTCCATTTATTTATTGTTATTGTTCATAGTCTTCTTCATGGCCCACCACTCTAATTTGATGGTAAGGGGGGCAGAGAGTGAATTTCTTTTAGGCTGGTGGAAGATGGTTTTGGTTATGGCCTTTATAGAACATAATTAATTAATTACACAGTCAGGCAGACATTGAATCTCAACACCATTCTCATCAGACCAGTCTTGGTTGTGATGGGTGACAATGCATTCAGTACTACGGGGTTTACTGTATGTTTTTTAATTCTTTTTAATGTGATCAGTGTTTTTTGGGCATGACAGAAATCTTTTCTTGGATATTATTCCTAAGATGTTTGTGAAGCAAAGTAATTGTTATTGATTTCTCTCACATTGAGTTGGCTGCTTGATAAGTTGTGGTGCAAGTCAGATATTAATGGCAAAACTATCAAGGTGAAGGCCCATCCTGCAACTGGTGAGTCCCTACATAGCCCTTACAATTCAGACTTCCTTTTGATCACAGGCTCTCACAATAACTGAATCAAGAAGGTGCCAGTGCTTTGTCTAAGGATGTTTCCAGATATTTCTCTGAAGAAGGTGCTTTGGAGTGCTGTGATGTTGTACTGTAATTGACCTTCCCTGCTCCTTCTTGTTGGTCCCAGAAATCAGAATCATACTGTGCTTAACTCTTTAAGGACGATTGTATCGTCCTTTGGGGTGTTGGTCGGGACAAGGTCATTTTCATGAGCTAGATCTTACTCTTAATGGCATGAAATACTCCTTCAGCATGACTCAGGGATCGTTGCGACCTTCACCTGAACTGAGATGACAAAAAAAAGTGTTTAGGCTTTATTCACACTTATTCACACTTACTATTATCTAAGGAACACCTAGCTCTTTCTGAATTTGAACTAAAGTTCTTCAGATGCTCTCTTACACACAACTGGGCAGCTAAGCTGCTTAATTGCCATCAAAAATACACTTCTTTAGCAAAGCACCTGTAATGGCTACATGGACACACAGTTTTCACTGTATTCAGCATAACTGCACTACTTGTATATATTGCATACACCATGGACACATAGCAGCTCTACTCATATTGAGTTTTATTCAATTTCTATGACATCTATTATTATGTAACCTTATTTTCATAACCTCAATTTTGTGATTTTTGTGTTTTTGTGAATATTGTGATTTTTGTGGCAAGACATTTCATTGCCAGCAACTACTGCTGCACGCTGTATTGGTGTGCATTTGATAAACTTTGATTTTATTTTATTTGATTTAATTTTATTTTGATTTGATCTGTCTTTGAGACTTTTTTCAAAAAGAACACTCAACAAACACATCCATCGATTTGTCAATCAGTTCAATTGCTTGCTCCTTTTTCACTCCATGCCGTGTATGCTTTAGTGTAAGCATAAGTGCAGTCTAAGTTTAAGCTTCCTGGTTTAAAATGTCTGCTGACCAATTCTTTTCCATCAGTTCATCAGGTGACTGTGGTTGGAAGTTGATTTCATATTGCCTTCTGGGGAATGTGGGTTAAACCAAGAATACCTTCTTGTCTGAACCTGTCGCGCTTTTACAATAGCATGGCTAAAACCATTGCGACCGAGTGTCTTTCCTTGGTAGTTTTTCCTTTTCAGAAGAATGTGGATCCTCAATCCTCTTTTGTCTCATTTTGCTCAGGACAGCAATGTTGTTGTTGTGTCTTGGGAGTTTCGTAGTGATGATAGTAATTGTTCTTTCTTTTCTTCTCATAATTCGGGAAATATTCAGGGCACTTTTCCGAATTTTGTTAGTACTCTAGATTTGCTTTTAAAATGACTGTTGTGCTTTGTAGTAACACATAATATATTGCTCTATTCACTCAAATTACAAATGCGCAGCTCCTACCACCTCTCAAGAAAGACTGCAGCTTACTCATTTCGATCTTAATTCAAATTTATATGAATAATAATAATTTTATTTTATACAGCACTGTTTATGTCAAGACAGCTGAAAGCACTTTGCCATTAAACAAATTAAGAAATAAAACTAATAAATACAATGACAGAAAAATGAATACTTTTTCTAGGTTTTCTTTCATAGTTGCTTTACAAAATGTTTGAGTATTTCTTTTTCACTTGGAGGTTGTGTGGTAAAGGTAAAATAAGGCTGTTGGGTCACATAGTATGGTACTTTGGGAAGGATGTGAGGACTTTCAATGGGCATTAGTGTTAAACAACAACAATAACAATAAAAAATGAAAAACTGTACAGCCTATTAGAATTTTATTTAAAAATATTTTGTGATCTATAATAACACATTTTTATAAAGCCTTCCTTTTCATACTCCCTTGTATTCCAGTTCAAAGAGAGTAGTAGAGTGGAAAAAACTGTAACAGAGGCCATGCATATAATTTTTCTGTTTCACCACATTGAGACGAATGTATATTACTGGAAAATTATAAATAATGGTAATATTTTACTGAAGTATAAAAATGTATGAATAATAGTAATATTTTACTGAAGTGTGAATAAGGAAAAATCTTTTCAGAGCCTAACCTGACAAAGATAAAACATTTGTTTGTACATAGACTTGCCATATTAAGGCAAGCAGTTGTGAGTCATAATAATACATGTATAAAACAGTACCGAATTAATCAGGAATTATTAAAAAGCTTTAACTGCTCTATTAAAGTTAATTCTTAGATCCTTCTTGATCTATTGTGGTATAATGTGCACGACAGAGGGTTTGATGCACATACTGTACCTCATACCTCAGATTTGGAAGTGCTGTGGAAATAAACTGATTCTTTGCTTTTAGTGGTAAAGGTTTTAATAAGGTGAAGGTTTTGACCTTCTTAAATGTGCTCATACATTCCATAGAAATGTGATAAGGTAATTTGAAATGCAAACAAGAATTATTCAAGAACATTTGTGAAACTAAACTGTGTTTAAAAATATTCTCAATAATTCAAGAGCTCTGAGTTTCTAACACCTTTGTATGCTATATCTTCTCTTCCAAAGGAAGCCTGACAAAGACACGTCAATGGCGTCTGTAATTGACACTCATCGCACCCATATAGTGCCCCCACGGATAGTTCTGCAGGATATGGATGAAGATGTGGAGAGGATGGAGAGTGGAGAGTCAAAGTAAGGAGAAATCATTTTAACAATGTGTCCTATTTCGTTCAATATCATTTGATCATTTTCATTTGATCATCTATCCTAATGAATAAATAATGATAGGAGGTCGGCATTAATGTTGTATCTTTTCTGTTTGTGTTTGGGTTTATTAAGACTCAGTGTACCTATGTCCTGGATTTAGTTTGAGATGAAAAGTCAAGCACATGAGAAAAATACTAGACTGATTTCTCCTCAGAATTGGAGTGTTCTAAAATATATTTTAATATAATACATACTGTATATAGGAAATTATACATACATGAATAGATGTTATATATTCAATTTGTTATGTGTGCCTATGAATTGAAAAGTAATTGACAAACAGGAAATAGCATGTTGTATTAAGAGGCACAATCACTAACTGACAAGATCTATTGTTAGCAGTGGATCTGTTTTACTGTGAGACTCAAAGCAGTTGTCCCAAGCTATTTCCAACCCAACTTCCATTAACATCATGCAAGTTCTTTCTTGTACATTATCAATTAATTACCCCCATGTCAAAATGTGTTGTCAAGGCCTTGACCAATAGTATAATTAACTAACACACCTGGCAAAAACAATTCTGTTAGGTCCTTTGGTGGGTTGACTCGTACTGCGGTCTCTCTGTACATTGGCTTTTCCCAAGAAAATTACGAAAGATAAACTAAACCAGACACAGGAGACAAAACAATCACGAAAGAGCCTTTTAAAAAAATAGGAAGATTTTGATAGATTTATAAGCACCAAATGAAGGTGAGCTTTGGGACATAAGAAAAAAATAAACTCCATCACTAGCAGAGTGTAGATGAACAGTGAGAATCAGCTGAGTGAAGATGACATTGAGGAGAATTAAGCAGATAAGATATTGATTAGGTATATAATAGCACAGCATGTAGAGACTTGAACATAAAAACAGAAGGGTTTTAAAATTAATTTAAAACCTGACAGGAAGCCAATGCAAACACTACAAGACAGGAGTGAAGTTATCACTTGCACACTACCTTTACAGGATTCTAGCTACAAAATTCTGAACAAAATGTAACTTTTTTCAAGTACTTTTAGAGATTTCTGCAAATAGGCCTTTAAATAATCAATTCTGGAAAACACAACTTATTACCATTTTTCCTTTACTGTCACAGACAACATAGGATGCAGAGTGGTACAATTGTTGTAAGAAAAGTCATTTCTAAAATCCACTCTTTACATCAACATTTTCTTAATTTGGAATGAAATATGTATCTGTGGTTGTATATTTTTTTATACATGCATCTATGCATTATCATTGTTTTACAGGGACGAATCTCCATCTGGTCCACAGGCACTCTTTAATGTCAACAACAGCAACAACAATGAAGAGTAAGGATGGAATTCTTCTTTTCAAAGAGATTATATTCACATGAAAAATACTATAACTGTGTCTGTAGTGAGGAGGATGCTTCTGAAAATTGCCTTCTCTGGATTGTGAATGTCACATGGCACACTTAAAAATAGTTTAGTCTTATTTCTGGCCTGCAACTTAACTTATCATTTTATTCATTGAGCGTCAGCATGAGTTTTGAAATTATAACAAATTATTCTGGTGATGACTGTAACAGAATATAGAGAATTTCAACTTTGTTCAAACAATTTAAAGATGTATTGAACATATTTTAATTCAAAGTATATGGCAACAGCTTTAGCACCTTCTAGTCTGACTTTATCAGACCTCAGGAGTCAAACAAGACTTGACCTGGTCAGTATCTGTGTGGAGTGGGACAGGTGGCTGTTATACTGTTAATAGTATTAGTGGATATAGTGGTGGCTCTCTTTCCTCTGCACTTGAATTTCTTGCACTGTGCAGCAGTTGGTGCCATCTGTCATATGAGATATTAAATACTTTTAATCAAAATTTGAATGTTGAAATGTTGAATGTTGAAACACTTTTAGTGGCGAAATACATTAAATTGTCAGGAAAGAACAAACAAAAATATTGTGTAAGTATTCACCCCCTTTGTTATGACAAAATAAATTAGATCAATTGAAAAGCATTTTGATGTATTAAATAATGGTCAATGTTGTTTCGCAATAAATATACCAGTCCCTGTAAGGTCCTTCAGTCAGGTATTGAATGAAGACCAAGCAGCTTTCAGAAGAACTTAAGACAAAACTTGTAGAAGGGCACAGATCAGGAGAAGGATATAAACATTTCAAAGACTCTCAATGTCACATTCACAGAGTAAATAAAGATGTTCAAAGAGTGTATTCCATCACCCAGACACTGCTTAGATCAAGCTGTCACTCCAAACTGAACAGCTGGCTATGAAGGCAATTAGAGATTCCACTGTGAGGCCAGTATCACCTGAGAACTACAGAATTCAATGTTTGAAAAAGTATAAAATGTTCATTAGTAAACAATGTCCCTTCACTCCACAAAGCTATCCTAAATGGTAAAGTGGAAAGCCTATCTCCATATCTACTGTATGTGACACTTTGGGATAGAATGGGATTTTAATAAAAACACTAACTTTTAAATTAAGCATTAGCACCTTTTTAAATCTGAATATGATACAATGCTGATTTAGCTATTGAAATCATGTATTAGATCTAATGTGTAGTAGCTTACATTAAAAAATTGGTAACATTGATTGGCTGTTCATTATGTCTGATCATTGTCAGCAATATTTGATCAATTTGCCATTTTTTATGGGTGTGCAGCAATATCCATCTTGGGGTAAGGTAACACATTCATTTGTTTCAGTTTAAGGGAAATGTTAAAATATTATTCTTTCTCAAAGTACCCAGAGGGTGTTACAGTTACTTGGCTTCAAATTGTTAACTGTGTTGTTTATTTCTTTCTTAGGGAGGACAAGAAGAAAAAGAAAAAAGAGAAAAAGGAGAAAAAAGCGTAAGAAATATCTGGAAAAAATGTTTGTTCTGATGGAGTTGTTATTGTTAGCTTTTTAATTATTTCCCTGGAATGATTTGCCCTTCTCATGGATTATTCCACAGCAAAAAAGAAAAGAAGGAAAAGAAAGAAAAGAAGAAGGACAAAGAAAAGGCGAAAGAAGAGAAAGAAAAAGCAGAAAAGGAAAAAGAGAAGGAGAAAGACAAGGAAAAGGAGAAAAAGGAACAGTAAGTGTTGCTCTTGGAGTAGTTATGTTTGTGAGTTTTTTAAAGGAAATCATTGACAAAAAACGTCTGTTCAGTGGATGATAAAAAATGCATGTAGCATTTAATTGCCTTGCATTAAAAACAGCAGGTTCAACAATAACTGGAGTTGTTGGCATTTTCCAGCAGTTACTGTATATCTGTAGAATGCATTACACTGTTTATAAGCAACAACCCTTCTCATCAGCTACTGCTCATGGCTGGTGACTAATTTATTTTAATGTCTGTGGAACTTGTCTAGGAGCAGCAGCATATGTCATATCAAGTCATATCTTTGATTACAATATTTAATTACATTAAAATGTTGATTAAAAAAAAATTATATTCACTTTGCAGACCAAAGAAGGAACTTTATATCATTGACCCAGCGGGAAACATGTACTACAACTGGCTGTTTGTCATCACGATGCCTGTTATGTATAACTGGACCATGATCATTGCAAGGTAACGGAAAATGTAATGGTGAAATGGTACTTTTTTCCATTTGGGAATGCACTCTTGAAATGTGTTGCTGCTTAGAGACATCAGCAGAATTCTTAGTGTACTCCTAGTTTGGGATGTCTTGTCATTTAGAGAGCATTGTTTCAGGGTTCAATAGAGAATCAGTGTTCTCTAAATGGCAAGAGTTGTGATTTACCGGCCAGGTGGCACATGCGGCAAAGTCAGTGTTGCCACTAGTAAGAACCAGACTCCAGGTAATGTGATCTTAGAGCAGGCTGGAGCCCCACTCGTGCCTCCCTGTTTGGAGTGGGTTTGAACCCACCTGGGTCCAGTCTAGTCTGATTCTGTATAAATGGCTGACCCTGCACTCTGACCCCAAGCTTCTCTCTCCCAGCTTGTGTGTCTCATGGAGAGCAAGCTGGGTTATGTGAAATGAAAAATTCCTAATGCAAGAAATTGGCTAATGAAGTGATCTTATCTGACTTGTATACCTTATCTTAAATGACTTAATTTAGCACAGCATCTTAGCTACCCCTTTTTGTGACCTTCACAGCCTGGAACAGGTACAGTGTATTTGGTAAAGACAGAGACCCATTACAAACATTGTTTTGTATTTGGAGGGCTTTGCAGTTCTATAAAATGTACAATGTAATAGTAACACACAGGTCTAGCCTTCTGAAAACTGGAATGCATCTTACTGTTCTAGGCCTCACTAATACAAAAAAAGGAGTTCAATAAACTAGAAGACAAGTCACTGACCTATCGGACCCTGTTCAGAAGTCTGGGGTCCTGGAGCAGTGGGAAAGAGTCTACAACTTAGTAGACCAAAAATTGTGAATCAAAGAGGCAATTCCAATTCTGATAAAAGATTTGACCTTTTTATTCTTCAGAGCCCCTGTCAGCACATTTAAGTGCTGCAATATATATTTTTTTACATTTAATCAATCTGTACACTGTCAGTTCACATAGATAGGGCCTAATTTCCAAATGTGATTTGTTTTCCCAGAGACCCTGTGTATATTCAAGGTTACATCAATGTTTTCACTACATTCGGATCTACAAAGGATATAAAAATATATTTATTTTTTATAAGCTATAGGCTGCTGCACAACCCCATAAAATAATATTGCACAGGTTGCCAATTGCTTGTTATATTGTTTTATTTACATACTGTACTACTCAAAGGTGATGGCTTTTTATTTTTAAAACAGAGCCTGTTTTGAAGAGCTCCAACATGACTACCTGATCACGTGGTTCATTGTAGACTATGTGTCAGACTTGATATACCTAGCCGACATGTTATTCAGGACACGGACAGGTAAGAGAATCATACTTATTCTTGAAATGGTTTTCAGTGGGTTTTGAATAAAGTTTCAGTATATTCAGTATTGAATAAAGTTTCCACAGAACAGACTGGACTACTAGTGCATTATTCACCCATCTTTTTCTGCAAACCAACACTCCAGGACTCCACCAAAACACCAATTTAACCAACACAATTTAACACCAATTTGAGAAATTATAGAATTATTTCTCATTGCACCTTTCATTAAAAATATCCCAAGGCACTACAAAGAATGCAAAAAAGTTATAAGTATATAAGTATAAGTAGGCTATAAGTATCCTTTTGCTCTTCGATCATCATTTAGTGTTGCTCAGTTGCTTGCACACATTCTTGTTTATCAGTGGTCTTTACCTGGTTTTGCTCTTATCTGACTTACAGGCAGCATTTTATCTCTGTTGGTCCTCCTAAATCCCCCAATCACGGTATGCCTCAGGGTTCAGTTTTGGGCCCTATGTATATGCTAACTCTTGGCCAAATTATGAGAAAATATGGTCTACAGGTTCACTGTCATGCAGAGAATACTCAGATTTATGTTAAAACATCTTCCCCTCTGGTCTTTCCCCTCTGTCACTTATCTCTTGTTGGCATGACATCAAACTCTAGTTGTCATCAAATTTCCTGAAGCTAAAGAGTGACAAAAAACAGAAATTTTACTGGTGGGCAGCAATGCTAAGCTGTCACAGTAATAGTACAGTAGATGTCTTCCCTATTCATTTGTCAGCCATAGTCTAGAATCTGGGAGTCACACTTGATCCTCTCCTGTCTTTTGAGCTGAATGTGAAAAAAGTGATTAAGACATCTTTCTTTAACCTTGCAAGATTAACAATCATTTAAATATTTGTTAACATAAGTAAAAACAATGTGAAGAACAAATAATAAGTGTGTATTTTTTTCAGATTTCTCCTTTGTCACATTTGTCTTTTTTTGGATCTATGGAATCACCGCTTTCTGATAGCTCTCACATAAATTATGTAATAGTGCTTCTCTTAACGTAGAAAAGGTATGAGTTCTCAATGAACTTATAGTTATTTCTTTTTCCTGCATTTTTGTGTTTTATCATAGGCTACCTGGAGCAAGGATTGCTAGTGAGGGATGAAAAGAAACTGAGGGAACGATACATGGACACTACTCAGTTTAAAATAGACCTGCTGTCTATGATACCAACCGATGTCATGTACTTCAAAATGGGACTCAACTACCCTGAGATCCGACTCAATAAGTTGTTCAGAGTGGGCCGAATGTTTGAATTCTTTCAGAGAACAGAAACAAGGACCAACTATCCCAACATTTTTCGAATCTCCAACCTTGTCATGTACATCGTAATCATCATTCACTGGAATGCTTGCCTTTACTTCTCCTTCTCTAAAGCGATTGGTTTTGGGGCAGACACATGGGTCTACCCTAATGTTTCCGATCCAGAGTTTGGACGACTTGTCAGGAAATATGCGTACAGCCTTTACTGGTCTACACTAACACTGACCACCATTGGTGAGACCCCTCCTCCAGTCCAAGACTCTGAATACTTCTTTGTTGTCATCGATTTCCTGGTTGGCGTGTTGATTTTCGCTACCATTGTCGGTAACGTCGGCTCAATGATCTCCAATATGAATGCTGCCAGGGCAGATTTCCAGGCAAGGATTGATGCTATTAAACAGTATATGCACTTTCGCAAAGTCAGCAAGGATCTGGAAAAGAGAGTTATAAAGTGGTTTGACTACTTGTGGACCAACAAGAAAGCTGTGGATGAAAGAGAAGTCCTGAAGTATCTCCCAGACAAACTGCGAGCTGAGATCGCTATCAACGTCCACCTGGACACTCTGAAAAAGGTACGGATCTTTGCTGACTGTGAGGCAGGACTTTTGATTGAACTGGTCTTGAAGCTGCGACCTCAAGTCTACAGCCCAGGCGACTATATATGCCGAAAGGGGGATATTGGCCGGGAAATGTACATCATCAAGGAAGGCAAGCTGGCTGTCGTTGCTGATGATGGGATCACGCAGTTTGTGGTTTTGAGCGATGGCAGCTACTTTGGGGAAATAAGTATCCTGAACATTAAAGGCAGTAAAGCTGGGAACCGTAGAACTGCCAATATTCGCAGTATTGGATATTCGGATCTGTTCTGCCTTTCCAAGGATGACCTGATGGAAGCCCTCACTGAGTACCCAGATGCAAAGGCCATGCTTGAAGAGAAAGGAAGACAAATCCTCATGAAGGATGGGCTGCTCGATCTGGACATAGCCAAGCTAGGACCTGACCCAAAGGACATGGAGGAGAAAGTTAACAAAATGTATGGAAATTTGGAGACCCTGCAGACTAAGTTTGCCAGACTATTAGCCGAGTATGAGGCAGCTCAGCAGAAGCTGAAGCAGCGGGTGACTAAGATCGAAAACAAGCTGATGTCTTCTGGGCAGGTTGTGATGTCTGAACTGGTGGATCCAGAGGCTGGAGCTGAACCTGCTGAAGCAAAGGAGAAAGATTAGGGTGAAGCTGAATAGAGTTAAGTTGCAGTACAGCAGTGCTGTGGACATTCTGTGCTGGACCTAAAGTCCAAAACTTTCCTACAGCACAGTGTTGTAAAATACTTTGTAATTATCCACCTTATTAAACACACTGTGTAAATATGAGTAAGTGAAGAATAATTAAAAGAAACAACATTCTGCAAGACGAACGTTAAGAACTCTACATAATTGCATAGCAAGAACTGGACATCAGTGATTACTTTCTGATTGTACAGTACGTGGCAACTTTTGTGAAAATATGAGGATGCCTGTTTGTGAATGTGACATTCTAAATAACACAGCCGTGAGAATATAGGAAATAATTTCTAAATCCTGAAGTTTTAATTCAAATTGTCATATAGTCAGAGATAAAAATGTATCCACCTGCATGGCATTAACTATGCAAAATAAGGTTTACAGAACAATATGTGTATAATGTAGACCTACTGTACAGTATGCAGTTATTAACCTAGCACAATTCATAGTAATCCACATTGTCGTCAAAAAGCATACCGGAATGTGATTCGGATCTCATTGCATAGTTCTTATTTTTGATATAGTTTATGCAGGAGGCCAAATGGTTATATAAGGGCTGTGAACTTTCCCAGTATATCAAACATGTACAATGCAAAGACATTACCTGTAATATATATTATTAAGGTATAGTTATTATATATTGCAGCTACATTACCTGTAATATACAGTAGATTACTTATACAGTAGCTGTTATACATAACAGAACTGAAAAGAAAGAGGGAAGAAATGTTTTAGTGTTTGTAAAAGTTACTTTTGTCCCCCATCCACCCAGTTTTTTATTTTCAATTCTAGGCCAGTACTGACGCCTCATTAAAAACTATGACATAAAAATGTATGCTATGTTATGCAGTGTTAATATTAATGGTAGAAGCCATTTGTATGTTCTGTCCTTTTTCTAAGTATTGATTTGTAATTATAGGAAGAATGCAAGTGGGCTGATCACATTATCTGTATTCAAATACAAAAAAGGGGAAGCTTTAAAATATGCAGCATTAAAAAGATTCAAAAATGAGGTTGATGGAAACACCACAGGTTTTCTATGACACCAGTAGATTTGTTTTTATGTGCTTAAAATGTGAAATAGTCTTTCCAGAATGTACTTAATGGATGTTGTTATGATACCATACTGTAGATTACAACAAATGCCATTTTATTTAACAAACTACAATACAATTAACGTGGCCATTGCATTTCTAATGTTTAGAAATAACAAATGATGTAAGGAAAGATTTGAGACTGTATTGATGAGACTCTTCTCCTATTCAATTACGTTTTTCCCAGCAAGAAAACAACACATACAGTAGTTGAACAAACAAGCTGTGTTTCTTATTTAACAGTTCCTAAAATAAACTGAAATGCACGCTTTGATTTAGTAAAATAAGAGGTATCCTCTCCTTAAGAAAGGGTTATAAAACTTAACAGAAAGTCAACCTTTCATGAAAATTACCTTTGAAGTCTTCTGGTCCCTGGGTAACTAAAATACGTATTTGCATCTCTAGCCAGATAACTTTATATTCTGAAAAAACACTTCAAATATACAGTAGTTGCAAATGTAACACAGCCCCCGTTTGCTCTGAAAGCTGTATGAAATGTCCTCACCAATGTCTTGATTGCAAGTTTAAAAGACATGGTAATCAGGAACACAAATCAAATATCAGTGCAAAACAAAAAAGGTAATTGTGGATTTTATATCTTTTAAATGCAAAGCTAGGGATGGCACATGTCAACTGTCCAAAATAAGGCATCTGATTTTATAGGGTTCTAGTTTCAAATCTATTTTAAAATAAAATTGAAATGGTTATGATACAATATGCAGTTTTGTTATTGATGAAGGGGATTTTGCATCATCATTTATGTTTGGCATATTCCATTTAGTAAACCAGAGACCATATAGTTAACAGATATAGAGCATTAAAAACCATCTGCTACATCTACAGGCGGTTTTAACAAAATCTTTTCCTGTGACATCTTTTGCTGTGAAATATCTTGGGTTGTATGTACTCAGCTCTGTCTTTGAAGTGACATGACTTGAACTCATGATTTTATTTACTGTATATTAGTCTACATGTTAGTTAATTGTAGACAGTGTCTGGATACAGTATCCAACAACACCACAGAAATAAGAGCACATTTTCTTGTCCAAATCCTTCACATCTCTCTTGTTCAAGTGATCCATCCTGCATAATGTAATGTATTTTTTTTATTTTTTAATGAAATCTAACTTTCTTCAAACTTTTATCTGGTACTGTAAATGGCTCTTTAGCTTTAATTTAGTTTAAAAGGTCTGCTTTGCAGTCAATTTTGTGAATAATGAGATGCATACCAAAACACGAAGACAATTATGGTCAAATGAAAATTTTATTAGAATCATTACAATCATTTGACAATTTTAATTCCATTACAGCATCCACACGAATTACTAAAATCATACCAAGTTGGGCACTGTGCAGAACCGATTGGATGACTATTTAATTAAATTGAAATTGTGCATAGGGGAAAACCATTTTTGGGACCTACTAATAGTTAAACCCCTGAGTGAGCCAGGATCTAAATAATCCTTTTCAGGAATTATTTGCACTTGCTCAGGTACCTACTATAAGTCAACTGTGAGAATGGTTTCAGTTTGCAAACATAAAAATGTAGAAATATCCAACATAAGCAAAACATTGTTACTTCCTTCAATTCACAACTTCATCTGTAGTGCACTCTTTTAAAATCTGTTGATAATTTTCTACTTCAGAATCTGTATAGAGAATGAAAAGCAGTAATGTCAGACCTACTTTCTCAGATATACTATCCTTTACTAAAACAAAATAATGCCTAAGCAAGTGTAAAGTATTCATTAAAGTATATATTTTCTAAATAAACTGGTGTGTAATTATTTACACGTTTCTGAAAGTTATACAGTACTATACCATATTAAAAGATGGTTCACACATTCTGAACCTGCCTTTTCTCTGTGTCCCCCGAGATGGCAGCACACAACAGACCATCCATTTTCTATTTTATCCAATATAGGGTATAGGGTTGTATAGGGTATACAATATAGAGAGGGAGGTGGAGCCTATCCCAGCAAGCAATGGGCTCCAGGCAGCATACCCCTGGACAGGATACCAGTCCATGACAGAGCACACACAGACAGAGACACAGACACACACATTCACTCCAGGGTCAATATTCCCAGAAGCCATTTAACCTACTAGTATGTCTTTGGGTTGTGGGAGTAAACCGGAGCACCTGGAGGAAATCCACATGAACATGGGGAGAGCATACAAGCTCTAAGCAGATAAAACAACAGGAATTGAACACAGAGCCCCGGTGCTGCCCGGTACCTGCAGTCTGCCAGACATCTGGGATTCCTGAAAGGGGAAAAGGCATGAAGGGATAACCAGTGCATCACCAGCAGTACACAACCAAAGAACAAAAATATCTCTTGACAACACTCTTGATGTGCACCTTTGCAGCCATTGAAGAATAAACACTACTTTTCCAACTGAGAAAAAATAAACCCCAATTTTTTTAAATAAAAAGTATAATTGAGGTGGCCAGTATTTCAATATGTTCTGAATAATTCTTGTTTGCATTTTTGGTTATCTAAAACACAAAAAGTACATTAATACATATTCAAAAGAGTTTAATTAGTAATGGATTTAAATTAACCTTGTTGAACTAGCAGTCAATGATACCTCTTCTGAATGCATTGAATACTCGTTTGTCCTATCAAGTGGCAGTTTAACCTTCCTATAAACTTACAAAGCATGCTTTCTCCATGTAATGTATTAATCTCCTAACATTAAACGGCAATCTGTTTATAGTTGCTTTATCAATAAATTAAAGATTAAATCTAAAGATTAATTTTACGCTTCAGATTAAATAAAAAAAAGTTTGCATGGATCATTAGGATATATAGTAGCCTAACTGGAAACTTAAAATATGCTGTACGTTATACACTTCACAATTATGGTGGTCTAGAATAAGCACCAGTAACGAACAACCTTCTTATTTCAAAATGTACTAGATGACACGTATGGCAGGACTTTACATTCTAGATGACTCTGCTCCATAGGGATAACACTTACTCAATGTATTCATTCACCAGATTCCCCCAAGTCAAGCTGTAATATTAAATCGTAAGCTTTCATGTTGTAAGCTTACAAAACTTCAACGTTATTTGAAAATGGAAAATATATATTATTTTTATTTTTTAATAAACAAAATGTATTTACCCTATTAAAGAGATATTTCACAGGTAACCGCTGATGTACGATTATAGAAAACAAACACAAATTCAACTCAATCATAAAAATACTAAAAGGAATAGAATTATACACCAATTTATTTTAAGAGTTTGTTTTCCCAAGTTTGAAGATGGTCATTAACCGTACGACATTTTATCTCTACAAGGGAGATAGGAAATTCATTCAATACATTTTCTCTTTACTCTGACACGTTGCATTCACCGGTTACGTAGCTCATTACGGTGCATAGTGGGAATTGTAGTTTTCAATAATTGATTTCTAACGGTACGTGGCTAAAGTAAGACTACTGCTCCCATGTTGTGTCTTGATTTCTGAGCTTGCGCATGATGCACAGGACAATCTAGATGAGTAGTGATTCTGCACTGGTGAGTATATTTTTGAATGGACTAGCTAGGAGCATGTTTTATACGTTGAAATACTAAAAATTGTATGGTCAACATACTGTTAACAAGTGCTTTACATGATGAATTAGTATAGACTGTCTGAATTATTTTATGTTTTACTATATCGGACATTTTGAGCTCAGCATAGGGGGTCAGAAGCAAAGCAGGACATTCGACTTCCAATTGCAGAAGGGATCTGAACTCTGACTATCACTTGCCGGACTGTTTAATAATCAATGTTAGGATTAGACTATAGTAGTTCTGAGTAATCTGCGATATGACTCTATCACATTTGTGTAGAAAGTGATGCATGTGTTGATAACACGTCAGTATACGTTGAAATTGTGTTGCATTATCAGGGTTACAAAATGATTCAATTGCAACCGAGTGCTCAGTCCAAATAACAGGTTGGCTTACAGAAAAGGTTAAAGATATCTGGTTTCTAAATACGGTAATAATTTATAAATACACATATGTCAGCGTCCGTACCTGTGTTCTCCTATTTTCTATGGGAATGCAGTTCAAGGCACGAATTTAAAGAGGAAATAAATCTAATTTAACTTTGTACCAGATTTTGTATTTGATCCAGGACTCAACCAATACAATTCTCTGCTTCACCACATAGTTCATACATAAAAACACTATTTTAACAAATTTATTTATATAACATTTGCTTATTGTCAGAAGACCTGAACATTTTCTATGTGAATAATATAAAGACTCTGAAGAAGGTACAGTAATTCACTGCACTAAGCACACCTTGTTTTGGATACAAATTGTCAGCCTAAGAAATTCGTAGGAATTAGTAGTAACATGCTAAATTATTACTGTTCTTTTTAGCTGGGTTAAACTCCATTTGTGAGATATCAAATTAACTTGCTGCTGTTTACATAAAATTGTAATGAAAATTAAATTGCGGCACTCTCGAAAACAATGACCAAACACTAATGAGTTTTTACCAGAAAGCTTTGGGTCTAACTCAACGTGATGTTTTTAACCCTCACCTGGTTACAGTGAGGGACGAATGGTCTAAAAATTGTTTGGAAAATTGAATAGAACTCACTTGCTTCTGCTTTGCACTTTGCCTTTTATCAGAAGCATACCTTCAAAATGGGGGGGGGCAGTGTGCTGAAAATGGGTTGTTACGGCATTGAAATTGAAATGAGAAGAAATATTCCAGTGGATTTAAATGGTGAATGTTTTATTAAGAATACAATTATCAACACATTGGCAATTCTGAAACCTCAAGTCACCTGCTTGCTTTTTTAGATGGTGTGCGGCAGAGATAAAAAAGCCAGCATCGTACAAAGAAAGCTCTGAAGTCAAGAATCTCATCTCATTCTATAACCACCTGGTGAGGGTGGTGGTGGTAACAGGCTGAGCAGAGCAGGACAGGCCAGACTTCCCTTTCCCCAGCAACAGTCTCCAGCTTCTCCTGAGGAACTCCCAAGCAGAAGGCCAGACTAGCCAAGAGATACACAGTGATCCCTCCAGTGTGTCCTGGCTCTGTCCAGGGTCTCCTTCCAGCGGGTCATGTCCAGTACATTTCCAGCAGGAGGCGCCCTGGGGGCATCCTCACCAGATGCCTGAGCCACCTCAGCTGGCTCGTTTCAACCCAGAGGAGCAGTGACTCTACTCCAAGAATACGGAGCAGTCTCACCAGTGAAGTCTAGTATAGCATGTGCACAGGACACCAGCAGGGCGTACTCCCACCGTCTGCCCTGTGTTCTAGGCCCTAGGTTGTTGAAACGTCCACCAGCAATGAGTGGCTTTTTTATAACGCTGGCATTTCTGTATGAATCTGTAGTTTCGACAGGAGCGTAATGGAACCTGCCTGGCGTCAGCCTGGCAGAGGGAGAGGCCGGGGCCGGGGAGGATCGAGTGTGGCCCCCGAGAATGCAGTTCCCAGGGCCCCAAGAGACAAGGGGGTCCAGACCCCTGGCGCTAGCGCAGATGGTGGCCCAAGGCCTGGCAGGGGTCGAGGTGGAACTGCAGCGGGTGTATTGGAACCGATTTCTGATAAAGGTCAGTTTATTAATTTTAACTGCTTTGCTGTGACGTCGTCTGGAAATATGAAACTGATGGTGAACTAATGGAGCTAAGTGTGCAAGACAGCACTTTTTATGAATCAAAAATGGACATACTGATATACAGAAATGAATGTGTTATATAGGGAAGAAATGTGTGAAGCTGGTCTACCAGGAAGAGTTTCCAGAAGAAACCATTGTTAAGAGTGCAGAATAAGAGACTTGTCTGGGCCAAAAAACACAGACACTGCACCTTTGAGGCCAGCTTCACGCAACCTCCTCTGAGCAGTTGATGTTGAAATATCTGTACTTCTAGTTGCCTTGAGCTCAGCTTGTATTTTAGGGGCAGTTAGCCGCCGGTTTCACAAACGTGTGACTCTAATAAACGTATTCTCTGATTATGAGGTCACCTTTGGCCTGCCTGAACCTTTTCGGTCCTCACGAGGGCCATTTTTTTCCTATCGCTTGGTAATCTTGGCCACAGCAGTTACTGACACTTGCAAAGTTCTTGCAATTTGTCTTAAAGTAATTATAGACTTGCTGAGCAAATTTTGCCATGTTCATTCAAGAATTAAATTTTTTTGCCCATGCTCCATATATTTATAGTAATCGATAACCCTCATCTGTTTACTAATAATTGGTGACAAAAGGTAAATGAGGTAGCATGCTAGTTAACTGTGAGAACATCTAACAAAGACAATTTTAAACTTTTAGTGTTCTATCACCATGTTATACACATTTCTGACTTTTAATTAAACTTGGGCTTCAGACTGAAATCTGCTTGTTTTGGGTGCTCATTTTATTGAAAATGAAAAATGAAACATTTTTAATGCAGTTCGCTTAAGATTATAAGTACACATTATCATGTAATTAGATATTAAGTGTTTATAGGCAGGTTTATACAGTTTAAAGCACAGATAATTGTGACAAACCTGGTTTCAAGCAGGTGTACTCAAACTTTTGACTGGTACTGTACAGGTGTACACCTTTTTAGTAATACAAAGTTACAAACATAAGGAAGGTTACAACACAAGGATGCCATTTGGGCCATCTAGTGCATTTGTTAGTGGTTAACTGAGCTGAGATCTCATGCAGCTGATTTTTGAAAGAAGCCAGGGTATCGGCTTTAACAATATGACTGTGTTTCTTTTACATTCCCACAAACTTTGAGAACAGTGTCTACTGTTCTCAGTTTCAGTGTACATAGCTGTAGCTCCTAATTATGTCCTCGGGTTATATGTTTCACATTTGATTCTGAAAAGTCCCATAGCTCGACTGATTGGACTTGGATGAAAGCTTTACTTGACAGAACCCATTATTGAACCCCAGTAGCAGACAAAAAAAGGCTCACTATCAGTGTCTGGTGCTCTGGCTTTCCTAGTGCATATTTTGGTTTGTCGAAACATGGTTTGATGAGTCTATGATTTTCGACAAAGACAGCTTGTCCACTGTCTTTTAGGAGATAGTTTCTTCATGAGTCAAGTACCAGTATCTGTGAATTCATGGCTTTTGGAAACTAGGTCAGGTTAAAATAAGGCTATCTTATTCTTCCCTTTTCTAAATATTATCCAACAACTTTTTTAGTGTACAACAGCTGTTTTAGTCCCATATAAAGCTGTTACCATATGACTGTATATGACTGTATAATTCAGTTAATTATGACCATAATTGATCAGATTTAACTGAAGCTCATTTGGAACATCTGTGATGCATTGAATTGTGGTCAGCTGTGACTTTACTGTACCAGCAATCATTTAAAATGTACAGTAGTTTCCAAAATTCAGACCTGTGTCTGATAATAAAGAGCACTGTTACTGGTGAATGTCTAGAGAAGTCCTGAGTAAAAAAAGGACCTCCTACTGCTGAAGATTCTGTGGTGGGGTTGGCACTGTAATGGGCCCCAAAAAAGTAGGGACACATTCTCCTTCTGTGGGAACTATGGTATCGGAACTCTGCAGCCATATTGTCAAGTTGCATGACATAAAAATGGGAAGGTCATTTGTCCCATTGAAAATATGTCCTTTAAAAAGGTGAATGCACAATTATGGAAAATATACAGCCCTGTCTCCTTACCTCTGATACTAAAATTCAAGAAAGTGGCAAACATTGCACTTTCTTTTGCTTGTAAATGTACACATGCACAATTGCATTTGATCTACATTTTCACATGGTTGGAAATAATTTTCTGGTCTTGTTGTCAAAGACAAAGCCTATTGATCAGTTTGTGATTAACTGGTGAAATAAGGTATTGATAGAAATGAATTTAAATTTTAAAAACTTGTGTTTTTGTAGTGTAAAGGAATCTCTTCTGTATAATTCATCCATCATTTTTAAATATCTGGTTAGTTGAGAAAAAATCTGTTGCAAATAATGCTTGATTTTGCATTATTACTCTTCTGTTTGTTTTTTTCCCCATTATTTAATCCTTGTTTTTCTTGCAGAACTGTCAACTCAAGCCAGGTTTGAAGAGATACGGAGATCCAATCAGGCTGTGGCTCAGAAGCTCACAGAAACTCAGTACAGCTCTTCTTCCGATGAGGAAGGGGAGGAAGAAGAGGATGGAAAGCAAGGGAAGATTTTGGCTTCTACGTTTACCACCTACACAAATCAATCAGGTAAAGCCCTAATACCAGGGTATTTTACCAAACAGCCTTGTGCCTTGTCTCCGTCTTCATGAAACTCAAGCATTTTGGATATAAATGGATATAACTTTCCAGCTGGATAACGCTGATCTGAATGAACGCTGAAGTGTGTTAATATTCAGTGTTCTTGACACGATCTCTACTAGAACAGAAAACATCAAAAATAAAAGCTGCATTTAGAAAGATTTAACAGATATGTAGTTCATATAATGATAGTGATAACCTTTTTAAATCCTATCAAAAATGCTCAATATACAGCTGCAGTTTACTTTTAAAGTAAACTTTTAATCACGTTATCAAGCATACAAATACATTTGGAGGAATCTGTATATGCAGATGTGCAAAGCTGTTGCGGGGGGAAACCTGTGTCATTTCTAATGATGTCAAACTGTTGCTTTTCAAAACTTGTACACTGATATATTTTTTTCTCCACATTTAATGCCCTAAATGAATGGTTTTATTACAGAAAATGTTTGGGGAGTTATTATTTGTAGAGTCTTCTTTCCTACATCTTCCAACACATCTCCGAGGCTATACTGACTCTTAGAAAAAATAATCTGATACTCTCTATGTAAGTGCTCATGTTTAATTTTTTCCCTTCAGGTGGAGATATCACAGACCTGGAACGTACCAGGCAGTACCTCAATGATGCTTTTCAATCTGGGGCTATAACTTGCTTAATTTGTATCGCATCTGTAAAAAGGAATCAGGCGGTAAGACTTATTGATGTACTGTACTGTAACCTGCAGTGTGAAGGATTGTGATAGCTACATAAGGCACTTTGCTTAATATTAGCATAATCATGGAATACTACCAATTTATTAATGGTATCTGGTATTACATTTACTTAATAATTAATATAATAATAATTGCTTACACTTATATAGCGCTTTTCTGGACACTCCACTCAAAGCGCTTTACAGGTAATGGGGACTCCCCTCCACCACCACCAATGTGCAGCATCCACCTGGATGATGTGACGGTAGCCATAGTGCGCCAGAACGCTTACCACATATCAGCTGTTAGTGGGGAGGAGAGCAGAGTAATGTAGCCAATTCATAGAGAATTAAGAAAATACATTTAATCTATAACAGGACAAGAAGGAAATAGCACAAAGAATGCAAGAAAATAGACTTACATTTGATTAACGCTTCAGTTTAAATCCACTTTGTGCTAACATATAGTGCATATTTTCCATATATCTGGGGTTAGGGAAGTTAAATAAAAGTCTTTTGCCCCATTTTTCTCACAGATTTTTTATACCCCAAGTGAATAAACTTGTATTCTGCTGTACCCTATTGTACTGTTAATTAGCTTTCCATTCGGTATAAATAGTTTTTTTTCAAACAAATAAAAAAGATAATTGCTATATAAAGTATCTCCAATAACTTTGACATTGTCTTTTGTCCGGAAGCTCTCTTAACAGTACATGAGGGTGTCACCTGACATTAAAGAGATGTTTTGCACTTTTTGGTTGGGTGAATATGCAGAATGTTTGCTTGTCTGACTCCCAGAGTCTTTTTTGGTTGCATGTATCTTGGTATCTGTTCTGTCTGTATCGTACATACAGCAGTAGTCTGCATGATTGAATAGCATTCTCATGCAAGGCAGTTTTAGCTGGAAATCTACACATATTGACGTTATAAGGACTGCCTTTTCTTATTTCAAAAGGAGTCGTTCTTGTTCCAGAAAGTACTTGTATATTGTGGTTCTGTGTATTAATAACAATTCTCTTCTGAACGCCTGAATGGAACAATGCTATTGATAAGGGTTTTGTAAAGCTACAATTTGTAACAAAATAGACCACAAAACTAGATATGTATGAAATACTTTAAAGAAGTATTAGTGAATTTAATGGAATCTAAATGTTTTTATTTGAACTTGACCTAATTTTTTGTAGTGATCTGTTGTCTGGGCTATGCTTATTTTATTTTGCATTCTTAGATGTTACCCGTGTTTTACTGTTTGCTCCTTCATTGAGATCTTAACAAGTGTAGCAGATTGCCTTTCCAAGAAAGCTTTCTCCTCAGTTAACTAAAAGAAGATTTGCATAAAGATGTTTTGTTCTGAAATAAGTAAAATGACAAGCAAGGATCTAAGCATAATAGTTTTTTCTGTTTTGCTCTGCCCAGGTTAACTTGACACACAAATCCGTAAGAATCATGGGTTCTAATCTGAACTAGAATCAGGTTTTCATTTCTAAGTGCATTACTTTGCCATATCTACTGACAGAAAGGTTTCATTTTCATTGACTTACACTGACTTTTCCTTATTTCTTGTAGATCTGGAGTTGTTCAGGATGTTACTGTATATTTCACATGCCCTGTATTCAGAAGTGGGCTAAGGATAGCATTTTCCTGGTGTCTTCAGTCACCGATGAGGACTTTGGAAAGAAAGAGCACCCGTGGCCTTGGTGAGTGGGCTTTGCTGTGTGTTTTATGTGTGTTCTGTTTGCAGATGTCGATACACTAGTGGAATCACCTTCAAAGTAAGATTCTCCCCTATTTCACTTCAGACTCTTAAAGTAGTTAGTGTGCTGCACGTTCTACTTGGAAACAAATTCATCTTAACTAACATTGTAATACCCAATTGATTAATGCATGAATGATTACTGTATCACTGTATTACCATTCATATATGGTCAGTTAGTGTTGCAAGTGTTGTGCACATATTCCTACATATATGGAGTGTTAGTGTTGTACTCACCCACAAGCAGGATTCAACCTAAGGTCTGGCTATGTGCTTTATTGTACTACTGTATGCTGGTTTTTTATCTTCACAGCACCCAACACAGCAAAAAAACGCCATATAGAAAAGCAACTTCCCAGAACTTGAACCACACAGCCCACACGTACAAGCTGCAGACAAGTCCCTTACGCTAAAACGTTGTCCCTTCACTGGATGTGGATGTCTCAGATCCTGTTGGAGTAACATCATTGTGTTGGTCTCTTTTACACTTAATCATTATTTAGTTCTTCAGTAGATTAGGTTTGACCACTTCTCAAGGATATAGTCTTATTTTATGCCCTGTGGAAATGCAGTAGTATTACTAGAAATAAATACAAAACAGAAAATGTAATGAGGCTAGAGTGTCTTTTATCTGGTTCATATCAGAATAGATTTCAGTCTTTTCTGCCATATGGCAGGTACTGTCTAGGTGTTTTGTTGTCAGTATCAACATCAGATCAGTGATGTTGGATAAATGACAGCTGCCTTCAGAAAACAAGAATGGAGCTATTGATGCCTTCTCGGGTGGTTTCAGTGTGTCAGAAATATTCCATAATGTGGATCAAGTGTTGTGTATATTTGCTCCTTTGAAGGCAAAGTAGTGTACTGTATGTCACTGTAAGTGCAATGCAATTTGCCGATCACGATGCGACAAATTAAATGTGCATATCCAATCTTTTTTTAATTGAAAAGTGCTTTATATACTGTACTGCTTGCTCATCCTGTGATTTTCATATTTCACGTTTCAGACCCATGATGAAATTCGAACCGGGCATTCAGTTTATATCACAGACAGATTTACAGATTGGATAGTATCTTTCTTAAAAAAAACAAAAAAATGTTATTTGGTAATTTCATTTATACAGAGCAAAGTCATTTTTGTCATATGAGAAATAAGTCGTATAGGCTCAGTAATGAGAAATTCGTGTGAGTTTTTTTTTTACCGTATACAGAGAATATAGAGTAAGTGAATCAGTTACTTGAAACAATGCATGATATCGAATTTTAGTATTTCCATCCATCCATTTTGTAACCTGATTATCTATTACAAGGTTGTGGGGGGAGCTGGAGCCCAAATCAGCAAGCAACAGGTGTGAGGCGAGATATACCCTGGACAGGGAGCTACTCCATCGCAGGGCAGACAGACACAAACACGGAAATAGTTATATCCAGTTTTACAGGAGTCCTGAAGAAGAATTGACCCACCAGCCTCTTTTTGGCCTGTGAGAGGAAACTAGAGCACTCAGCATAAACCCATGCAAACAACGGGCAGCAACGCTAACCACTGTGCCACCGTTCTGCCCAGTTTTAGTATCTCTAAATATAAAATGGAAATGTATCTGTGTACCTATAAAATCTATAAAAATCTAGGTTTTGACAGTTATAAACACATATAAGTTAGTTATATATCTATGAACACATACTCTCTGGATTAGTTCAAGTAGGTACCTGCGTCAGCATGCGTAAGCTGTATAAGTAAATAAGTAAAGGAATAAGTAAAAGTTTATTCCATGGTGAAAAGAGAAGAAAGGAAAAGCAGCATTTTGGCTGTGGAGCTTTCTTAGGGCATAGTTTCTAAGAAGTTTCTTTTTAAACTTATTGAATTGAATATCTTTAATGCCTGCTCCAGTTACCTCTCACAGATCAAAGACCTGCTAGTAGGTTAATTGGCTTCTGGGAAAAATGGCCCTGGTGTGAGTGTGTGCGCCTGTCTGCCTTGCGATGGACTGGTGTCCCGACCAGGGTGTATCCTGCGTTGTGCCTGTTCCTTACAGGAATAGACTCCGACAAACCTGTACCCTTGAACTGAATGAAAAGTGTTTAGAAAATGGATGTTTCATGCCTCCTCTGAAAATGAGACAGGAGTCTTACAGGGAGGTAGAACGTAGCTGTCCGTGCTTGCGTTCATTTGTAAGACCTTCTATTTTGTTGAACACAACTGTATAATTATTACCTACTTTTTTACGTATGAGAGACGTCTGCAGATAAAACATGCCTAATAGGTTCTTTTTGTTGTTTTGGTTTAGTCCAAAATGTAGGTTTGAGTATAAACCACATCAAACGCCCAACAGATACTACTGTTACTGCGGGAAGGTAGAAGATCCTCCTCTTGACCCCTGGCTTCTGCCTCACTCCTGTGGCCAGGTCTGCGACAGAGAGTTTAAGCCGTCCTGTGGACACAGGTGCCTGCTACTCTGTCACCCAGGTATGAGATTCCAGGTGGAAATTTCTGACATTAAATCAATTAACAGCCTTTTATTTTTGTGTATTGTGTACCTCATATAGAAACAGCAGTGTTTGTTTTACATGCTAATTGAGAGGTGTGTAATGTGCAGGACTAAGCTGACTATACTGAAGATTTTGACTAATAATAAGAAATAAGTTATGAAAATATAATAAGATAATTGCTCTGATACACTTGCATGAAAGGTGCTATATGAAGTATGGTAACCAGTCACAAAACAGAAATATTTAAATTTAAAAAGACCAGGAAAAAGGCTTCTCTGCTGAATTCCATATCCCCAAAGATTTTATTTAGTTAATAAGTATTTAAGAAAAGTCACCTGCTCAGAATTTTAAGAATTTTTAGAAGAGGAGAAAATGCCTAAGGCACAGAGCTTTTTGATTTAGGCCCTGGAGTTTAATTGAGAAAACTGAGTATCATTTATTTGCAAATTAAGAAAATAAAAGGTGCTTATAGATTTTAGTAGAAAAAAGCCCTTGAGCATGTATATTTCAGTTCTGAGTGTTTAGTGTGAAGATTTGGCTGGAGAAGCTGACAGTGGAGTGAGTGAAAGTGCTTCTTTGTCTTGTAAAGGAATACAGTGGTAGTGGCTTCACAGCTGTGGATGTCCTTGCAAAATGTGAGGCCTGGTTTAACCTGTTAGCCACGTGGAGCCCTTAAGGCTGTGAATTTCTTTTTGCAAGAGCATTAATTTAATATTCAGGTAATGGTGGAGATTTTGCCATTTCCTCAAGCAGGTCTCTTAGTCACAGTCACAGCTTTACACCACGAGGATTATTTTGTTCATGGGGGATGTGTGAATTTCTTCTTTGCGTACGTTTTTTGCATCTTTACGAGCCGAATGTCAGGATTTGTTCTCTCCCCTGTGCTGTCAGGCCCCTGTCCGCCCTGCCCGAAGATGGTTACCGTCACCTGTTTCTGTAAGAAAGCACGACCAGTCCCCCGCCGCTGCAGTGCTAAATCCTGGAGCTGCAAGCAGACCTGCGGGAGGCGTCTGCCCTGCGGCCAGCACCCCTGTCAAAGCCTGTGCCATGAAGGTAGAGCTCTTCTTGAGCGCGTTCCCTGTTCTTTGTACCAAAGATTCATGCAGAATGATGCAGGAGGTTGTATCCTGTAGACAGACAAAATGCCTCAGGTATTCCTTGACTTATGTAAGGGTTACTTTGTGCACAGCTCTTCATAAGCCAATGTTATATGGCATCTTCACCCTTACACTGTTATCATGATGATTATTACAGTATGGTAATGCTACACAATTACACTACTGCGTACTATTGCAGTGTACTGTATCACACATTTAATAATAAGACTGTTCTTGTAGAGTAATTGTACACTGCACCAGCACCTTTCATGTCACTAAACACTTTTAACTAACTAAACTAAAAGTGTTTAGTTAGTTAGATATAGTTTGACAGATAAAAATAACTGCAAATAGTGGAAATTAAGAGAACGCAGACGTAAGAGGAGACACGCATATAAGGTAATGCAGAAAAAAACTGAGGTTGAACGCAACCTTTTACATGCATAAGAACATGTATATAGAATCATCTGGGATTCTTCACAAAATGGCAAGAAACAATACTTGGCTCCCACAAGCTACACTAGCAAATGGACTAGCCAAATAATCTCTTTCTATTTTTAACCTTTCTCATCTTCTAGTGTAAGAGACCTAGGGCTACCTACTAAAAGCATGTTCTTTGTGCCGTGGAAATATTTTTATTGGCAATAATTATCAATGGTCTGCTTATGCTGTACTTAACGATCGTCTGGGTAGTCCTGCTCAAGTATTCCAAAATATGGCATAATGCGAATTTTAAAAACCCCAATTTCAGTGGCATTGTGACAGATAGGGTGTGAATTTTTCAATTCTGATTCCCTCTTTCAAAACACTTACCATTTTTGAAATTCGCTGAATTAGGAATTGGGTTAAAGGGGCATTTGAAGAAATAAAATTAATTCTAACCCTGGGCCAGTCATGAGCTGAAATACAGAATTTAATCCTTCTGAAAATAAATACATAAGTTGAGTGTATGTTTAAGCAGTGCGTACTTTTGCTGTTTTTCTTAAATTTGGTTTGGTTGATATCTACATTCTCCCTGTGTGTGTGCGCTTATTCAGTAGCACATTTGTTCATTTTCTCATTTTGCCCTGTGTATTTGATAGTGAATGACACAGCTAGGACTCGGAGAAAGAGAAATGCAAAGTTAATAACAAAGAAAGGCTCAGAAAAAAGGTTCTGCTACTCAGCGCAGATCTAGGCTACTAGGGGACAAAGAAAGATTTTACCGGTAATTAAAAATCACTCTGTCTCCATAAATCCTCCATCTTTTGTCTAAGATAATGTAAATATTAATAAGTTAATATTCCCTTCTTGAAACGAATGTGCAGGATGCAAGAACACAGTACAGAACCATGGGTGGGTCTCTTTTATTGGGTATACAAATTTCCAAAATACTAGTACTGTAGTTTTTCCTTCCAGTGTGCAAAAGTGTAGCTGCAGAATACATACAAATGTATTTATAAATATTAAATGCATAAAATGCCGATATAAATATTACTGTAGTACTCAGTATTAATGTTAGTACTGGTGTCCCCTTCAAAGTGTATCTTGCCTTGACCTAGTGTCTATTGCCTATGTGTTGGGACTGAACCATCATTAAAATTTAGATGGATGGTTGGTAAACTTAAACTGGCCATTATGGAAAAAGATTGTCTAGGGAAGTAGTAGTAAAGAGAAGTTTTAAAAGTTAAAAATCAAAAATGGACATAAAAAAGTTTGGTTTTATTCACTGGGAAAATGCTATGTTAGTATGGACACTGTTCAATTCTGTAAGTGATTTATCGAGATGTTCTGATTTTATTTTACATTTACTCTATTCACAAGTATCGTTCATAATTCTTTCATAAGCCTGCTGACCTCCAACTAGCCAGTGAGCCCTCTGAAATCTTTAGCAATAGTGAGTCTGTGAAAAGAACTCAGTCAAACGTGTAAACATAAAATGTCCTGTTGTTTGCAAGTCTTGCTAGTGGGTGATGTACTGTATATTAATGCGACCTTCAGAACATCAGGTGACTCGTCCTCTCTTCTCTGCATGTTCTGTCAGGCGATTGTCAGCCCTGTCCCCGCGTCAGCACGCAGCGATGTCTCTGCGGAAGGAGTGTAGCGGAAAGGCTCTGTGCGAGCCCCGTCTGGCAGTGTGAGCAGGTGGTGACTTCATTTCATGCTGAACGTTTTCTGTGCTGCTGGCAGTTGATGATATCATTTGTTTGTTTTTTTTTTAACTTCTCAATGGGCATTTATTGTTTTGCTGGCTGTGGGAGATCCATCCTTGTGGTAGCGTGGCAGTGGGGACTTTTGCAAGTTACTCTGTCCACATGTGATGAAATTGAGATCTCCAGGAGCAATTCCTTGCTATAGTACAGTGGTTCTCAAACTTTGTGGACCAAGTACCACCCCTGATCAAACCAAAGCATCCAAGTACCACCTACAAGTCATCTTTTCATAGGAACCCCAGAAATTCTCAATGACCAACATAAGTGCGCGTGTGCGCACACACTCACACACACATATAATACATATTATAATAATAAACTTTATTTGATATAGCGCCTTTAAAGGTGGCTTCTCAAAGCCCTTTACAGAAAAAAACAGGAACAACAACAAATAAAAATAATAAAAAAGCACCATTTCAGTGAACAGTTGAACAGTTCTTAAATATTTTTCTGTTATCTATCACTCTTTCCTGTGCTCACAAGATTACCAGTGTTCCTAGCATGCATTTCTATGCATTCCTGTGTTTGCAACATTGGCATTGTTCCAAAATCACGCACATTCTCCTACCTCTCTATTTGCTGGAGATACGTTTTTTTAAATACAATTGGTCACGTTCATAGCATGCATTCCTGTAGAGTGGTATAGAATTACATTATAGCTCTGTGTCCACTCAAGTATTAGCGCGCGCTGTATTGTAGTATGTAGGCTGCGTCTTAAAACAGAAAATATGAAAACCCGTCCCGATTTTTCAGCGCACATAACAAAGTTCCAGGCACATATGGTGTACCAGCTGGTGGTGCTCTGCCATACCACACTTTGAGAACCACTGCTTTAGTACATTTATTCCCCAATTCTGGTCCTGGAGGCTCAAGCACCTGCTGATTTTCTAGCCAAGTTCTAAGGTCTGCAACTGAAGTATTTATTGACTTAATAGAATTAATAGGAACTGTTTGACTGTTTTCTGCTTGTAAATTTTGTGACGATACCATTTTTTGATTGCATTTCATAAGTAAAATGAAATCCCAATTGCAAATAGTTCAATCAGGACATCTGTTAGTTCAATTGAGGCTTTGATTAGATATTTAAACTGGGCTGGAATAAAGTTGTGTGGTCCTTTAGGACCATGATTGGGAACCCCTGTTTTAAGCAGAACATTCAAATGCAAAGAAATGAGCTTAGCTCTCTTGAGTTGTTACTAACTCAAACAACACGAACTAAGCTTGGACAGCTACCTTTTTTTTCCAGTGCTAAACAAATACAACTTGTGAAGACAAAGATACTTGCATAATAGCCAACAAAAAGGCTTTTAGGGTCAACCTTTTTTCTTGGAGTACCTCAGTACTATAAAAGCCACTTTCAAAACCTGCCTTTTTGTAATTCTAATGCTGTTCTCTAGTGTCTTTATATCCTTTATTTGTGACCCCATTGTCATTACTCTCCTTAAACTCTTCCACATGGAAATGTTTAAGAGCCCTTAGCAAATGTAAAAGCAAAGCATCACTGTTTAAATCTACTAAGAGGTATTGCAAATGAGTAAGACCTATTGGTTCTTTGTTTTGACAAAGCTGACTGTTGATTGTTTTATTTGTAAGGTCTGTGGCCGAACCCTGTCTTGTGGAAATCATACATGTGAGAGAGTTTGTCATCGGGGACCGTGTGGGGAGTGTCCTCGATCAGGGAACCGAGCCTGCCCATGTGGCAAATCCAGTGAGTACTTCTTGGTTCGGTGGCTCTCTGTGGCTAAGGATCTGTGCCTGTGGTTGGAAGGTTGCCGGTTTGTATCCCTCAGCTTGCAGAAGAATCCTACTCCGTTGGGCCCCTGAGCAAGGCCCTTAACCCCAACTTCTCCAGGGGTGACGTATAAATGGCTGACCCTGCACTCTGACCCCCAGCTTCTCTCCCTGTCTGTGTGTCTCATGTAGACAAAGTTGGTGTATGCAAAAAGGCAAATTCCTAATACAAGACATTGTATATGGCCAATAAAGTGATCTTAATCTTATCCTGTCAAAGAGTTAAAAGTAGGTAGGCTGTGCCAAAATCAAATAATACCTACTTGCCAGTTGAAATGATTTTGCCAAATATTCTTTTACTTGATAAATTCAAAGGATGTGTAATGCGTCAGCATGCGTAGGCCGCAAAGGCACAGGTAAAGGTTTATTCCATGCTCCAAAAAAAAGAGACGCAGCTCCACAGCTGAAGGGTTTTGTCTCTTTTCTTTTCAGTATAGAATAAACCTTTTATCTGTTCCTCTGATTACAGGAACTACAATCAAACACATTGTTAGTCAGGCATCAGCAGTGCTCTTGCTTGTCGGTCAACAATTCCTAAGCACAGTCTCCGGAGTGGGATTTCCTTAGATGATAATCAGAGCAGTGGTGCTCTGTTGATGTCTGTGCAGTGATTTTATCTGAGCAATTGATCTGAGATTTGTCTCATTAGTTGTCACTGAATACCTAACGGGTGTTTGACATTAAATGCTTGGGCCTTTTTTCTTCATATAATCATTTTTTGTTCATCTTACAAGCATTCTGTTCTGGGACAAGTTGCAAAGTATTTTGCTCTGTTGTAGAATTTTGTTCTACATTTTTCTCTCTCGAGATAGAACCTCGAATCCCAAACTTTTTTTTTTAAACTGAAAACAAATGAGTGATACCTACATGCTGTCTCTAGCTTGATTTGCATCTTCAAACTGGCACTTGCAGTAAATTGTAGTCTGGAGCCTGTCCCCAGCGATCATTGTTTTTCCGTTATTCAAATGCTGTCATGGGTGGCAATTATTAGCAAAGGCCTCCTTCCATCAATTCTCTTACCACTCTTTCCAGTAAAGTTTTGAGGGGGAGCTGAAGCCTATCCCGACAAGCAAAGGGTGCAAGGCAGATTACACCCTGGATGGGACACCTGTCCATCGCAGGCACTCACAGACGCAGACACCCACACACTCACCCAAGGAACAGTTTTCCCAGAATCCACTTTAGTCCAAAGTATGTATGTATGAAGATGAAGTGCAATGTCGCCAAATGGGGTTTCTCCTGCTGGAAGGGACTATGGGCCCTGTGTGGGGAATAATAGGAAAAACTCAATGCCCTGAGCTCCTGCGGAGGACTGGACAACCGCAGTTTCAGAGCCAGGACAGGGAAATAGCATGGACAAAAGCAAGCGGTAGGGCTTGGAGAGACTCTTTCATTGTGCAATTCCGGACCCATCATCCACGTGCCCTGATCAATAATGGACAATCACCTCATTTGGAAAGTTTTTATTTGATGTTAGTCTAATAATTTGTTAGAATGTGTACCTATTGTGAAAGGTGTTTTGTGAAATAGTTTATTCCGATTTAAAAAAATGCCTGACGAAACTGGAGCACCCAGTGGAAACTTACGCAAACACATATAAACATGAAAGAACATGTGAGCTCCATGCAGATGGCACCTTAGGAATTGTACTTGGGGCCTCAGCACAGTGGGGCATTAGGAGAGATGTTTTCTTTCAAATATTAGGTTATGTATTAGACTTAATACAACAGATACTCAATAAAGGACACAATTATCTATTTAATTGCCAAGCTTTTTATGTCCCCTTCCTTTTCGACAGTTTTTTACTCTTTTGTTTTCTACAGCTTGTTATTCACTACACTGACACATGCTGTGAGCTCCACAGACCTGCACATCTTTCTTCACTGTTTTCTTTGTGTTTTCAGAGTGCTCTCTACCCTGCACAGAGGATGTGCCCACATGCGGTGACACATGCGACAAGGTTCTCGAGTGCGGACTTCACACATGCTCGATGCGTTGCCATCGCGGGGCATGCGAGACGTGCCGACAGGTATGCAGCGCGGAAAAGCCTTTTCCTGTCCCCTGGGCAACTTTTAGAGACGTCAGAGGTGGCAGCCGGTTGTGGCCCTTTCTTTCCTAACTGAAAAAAAATTTGGAAAGGAAGTTGGCGGTTCATGCTGGTGCCTATTCGTTAGAGTCTTAAAGAAACTGCATGTTCATTGACTGTCTTCAGTCAGTTTGGGGAACATTTTGTGAATTGTAAATTACTGACCAGACATGTTGTACAAAAAGGTTTTGTAATTTTTCCAAATGTACAGGATTTAATTTACGTACTTGAGATTTAGTTTTAGCAGAATTAGTTTCTGCCAAATGCAGGGATGAATGTTATGAAGATAAGTGAAGACTGATAAGATGGCTTGATCAACTATTTGGGTCATCTTGGCCAGCCTCAGTGAACACCTTTAACGAGAAGCTTGTTTTCTTTTTCTTTATTATGGACTGTGTGCATGCTTCCTTAAACTTTGCAAAACAGATATGCTTCTACTCCAATAGAGGGCGCAACAGCTCTTTATATCTACACATTTTTGTTTGTCAGACCAAAACTGTGCTTGTTCAAATCATTTATTTGTGCTTATGCTTAAGAAGTATTCATGTTTTCGAACGAAGTAAAAAAATAGTTGACCTTTTTAGGGATTGTTCATTTGGGAGTTATGTGTACTTCTATATGAATAATTTCCCATTTATTTATAAAGATAGGTTTGATAGAACTTTTCTATGAATGGAGGGTTAGTTGTTGATCTAACTGTTGTACTGCATTAGGTTTCACGGTATATACTGTAGATCTAAAGTAGTTTTGCATACATACCAAATATGTGTTAATTACTTTATGGGTCATTAAACCATTAAATCACACTGATCATTGTAACACTAGCAATTATTTTTCAAAGTTTCTATCTTAATTTATATCAAAAGGCCCCAAGAGTTTGTACGTTTTTGAGTGCTGCTTGAAGCAAAATTTGGAAACCACATGCCATGTTAAATAATTGCTTCTGCTGAAAATGAAGTTCTTATTCTCACTGAATAGGAATTTCATATTCAGAAAGTTCCGGATATGATTTTATTGTGAACATATTGATAAAGGTGTGGCTTTTTGTGTTTTAAAAAAAATAGTAATTGGTCAGTCTTTAGTACAACTTATGTCCACATTTTCTGCCTATTAGCCGTGTGTGGAAGGATGCTTTTATGTGAAACGCATTATACAGATAGAGAAAATATTAGAGAAGTAATGGTTTTAGGTTTCCATTGCCTTAGTGGTTATTGTATGCCTGCCAGTGCTAGCGAGGAACCAGAGATGAGAAAGCAGCATGAGATGTCAATGTTACCATCTCCATCTGGGGCCTGGGTGCCATTCAGTGTAACTCCTAATGTGTGCTATTTTCGGTCCGTCTTGGTTCTGTTCTAATCACGCATGGCTTCTGTTCTTGCGGGTGCTTTGTTTCGGCAGGAAGTGGAGAAGCAGTGCCGCTGCGGAAAGCATACCAAGCGGATGCCTTGTCACAAGGAGTATCTGTGTGAATCCAAGTGTACCAAAACCAGAGACTGCCTCCGGCACCTGTGCAAAAGAAAGGTAGGGTCTCACCATGACATTGGAGATGTTCCCACTCAGAGCTTGTGTGAATAAAGCCTTTTAAAATGCGAACCTCAGGATCTCAGAGGCTAAAGCTTGATGGAAAGGACCAGAGTCCATTCTGACAGTGCCTGTGTGCACAGGACCAAAGTCTGTTACGGCAGGGCAGCTTTTCACACAGAAGTGGAAACGCAATTTGTCAGGTTGTGACGTTGCTCACCATGCAATCCTGTTTGAACTTGCTGACAGACAAATTGGGGGAGTAGTTAATAATACCTGTTGGGTTTCTGCACAAGTAAGGAGGATCAGATGAAAACATAATTTTAAGGGTGTATTTACACTAGAACAAATAATCCTGGTTAAGATGACAGGAGCATGCATTCCAGTGTGTTTTTGCATTGTAAATTCTACTGAACACATTTTGAAATGCGTCCTTAAAGTCTCACATATGCAAGACTGTATAAATAATGTATGCAGTGTACTTTTTTTGCACTTATGTGAAAAAAGTGGCTGTGGCCTATATACACTAAGACACCACCCACCAACAACCTGGGCATGACATCATAGGAGCTTAAAGATGTCTTTTTTCAGTAAAGGCTTCTTTCTTGGTACTCGCCCACACAGGGCCAGCTTTGCGTATGGACTGGCATATTGTGGAATTATGAACAGTGACTCATAACCGGGTGGTCTGATCTAGGTAGTGTCTGGGTGGTATGATGCACATTTCACTTCTGAATGATTGACTTCCCTATACTGAATGGGAAAAGTGAAAGTCTAAAAGGGAGCATAAAAGAAGATTTTCAACTTGAAGCAAATAAAAAAGCATTAGCCTTATTTTTAGATCTGTATTGTATATTCAGTCACACTGTGATGATGATCGTGGTGATTGTTTCATATGCCACAGTGTTGGCAGGTCTGCCAGAAGGTCTTTTTACAATCTTCTGTTCAGTTTCCTCATTGGACAGAAAATCACCTTTTGCTTCATGGATGTATAAATGCACCAGTCCAGTACTGAGTGTATCAGAATTTTAGTGGGATGCTTCTGGAATGGAGGCATAAAAGTGCCTGACAACAAAACCTTTTAAGAACAATAATTATAATTCCTTGTGTTTATGTATATATTCATAATATATAATATATTGTATATATTCATCCGACAGGAGCTCAAACCACTTTTCATATAGAAGTGGACACACTTAATCCTCCGCAGAAGCCCATTATGTGCCAATCAAAGTGGAATTTAGCCAGGATACTGGGGTTAACATCCCTTATCTTGAAAACTGCTGTGACCAGTTAAAATTAAATGTCAGCCGAAGGAAGACACCTCTTATAGCACTGTAACCCCAATCACCACACCATGGAAATATGTTTGTAAATTCTGGTCCAGAAGAAAGATGGACTCTTACTTGTCCACCAGTACCACTTACAACAGTAAGCTTTTTTTTTTTTTGCTCGGAGGCCTCCCTTCCTAGTGCTGACATGGCCCAGTTTTAATACGTTTCTGAGATCTGAAGAGATTAGGTGCCAAGATGGCAGAGTGTCATCTTGGAGCTTAGCATTCTGTTGTAGAAAATTCAGCTCTTGTTTGTGTTGTTGGCATAGTTAGGAATAGACCAGGTGCAAAATTCTGCTCTGCAGTTGTTTTAGGTTTTTATTCTGCCCATGTTTGTGTGACTATCTTTTGGTTCAGCTGGATCAGTTAAAGGGGAACTGCAGTGGTATTGTTGTATTTCGGGGTAAGAAAGAATCAGCATTGATTGTGAATACATCTCTTTTAATCCAGTAGAAATATTACTCTAGATTTTAAGACCATTTTACAGACAAATACTACTTGTTAACTCTGCATGTTGGAACATTTCTGGGGTGAAATGTCTGCTGCACAACCTGTACTTATTTGCTCGTACATCACATTACATTAGTCATTACAGAGACTTGTGAGCAGGAAGGGCTGCTTCACATCACGATTCATGGGAGCTCTCGCCCGTGGTGAGACAAGGGGGTTGCAACAGCACGGTGACTTTCACAAAGTTCACATTTTTGCGCTTAATTCAGAATTTGTAAAATTATTCCAGAACATCACTGAATTTATTTTGTTATCGAGATTTAATAACTGGTCTGAGAAATTAGGACTGCAGTTCCCCTTTAAAGAATCTCAGTAATTTGAAAGAGATCAATGAAACCTGCTGAATTGCAGCCCTCCAAGACAGGTTTGTTTGGAGCCTGGTTAAACCTTATTTCTTTGCTTGTTGAATTACACAGTTTGACCCTCTGTTTTTGAACTGTTAGCACTACTGCTGTGTTAGATGCAATTAGTGGGTCTTTAACCCATGTCTTATAACGTGTTGCTATTTGCACATGACAGACATGTCTTTTCCAAACCATCGCTACAGCTGTGATGACAGTGCCCTTTCTATCCATGCATTTCACAGCAATTAAAACACCTAGTATCTCGATAAGTCCCTTCTGATAAGGGAGAGATTTCACTAAGTGAGAGATAATATCTGACGCATCAGGGTGATAGTGTGAAGGATTATAAACAGCTGTTTCTGCCTCTGACGTATGAAGTATATATACAGTATATACACTGTGCAGTATGGTAAGTAGACAGCAAAATGTGAAAATTGGCACCATTGCTGGAACTTTGATCACTTTTGAAACAACATGACAAAATTACTCTTTTCCGCTTATGCTGTGGTACCTACAGAAGTCCATTCACATTTGTGATATCCATAATCAGTTTTTTTTCTCTGGCAAATTCTTTAAGGAAGCCAGGCAAAAACATTTTAGAATCTGATTCTAAATAAAAACATTTCTTAGACTTTTGATGTAAAGATATACAAGTATTTGTGATAAAACATTATGGTAAGTGCACATGTGTTCTTTAATAAGTTGTTTGGCTGTTTCTTTTATCAGATGCGACTTACATTTGTATCCGTTTAAACTGCAGGGTATTTTACTGAAATCTCTTGCTTAAGGGTGGCGATCATTCACCACAATACAGAAGTGACTTTGAGTATTGCAAAGCCGCTAAACCACGTCATTAGCCAGAGACTTGTTCACAGGTGATTTGAGCAGTCTGATATTAAACCTAATTAAAATACAGAAAAGAGCAAATGCGCTCTGACTATGAAAAGAACATTCTATCCAGTGTTACATTGGTGGCTGGACTAAATCAGCTCTCTATCACTTGCTGCCTGGGATATTCACGGTTGTCAGTTTCTAACTTGGGAAGGTGTTGTACCCAAATAAATTCCACCGTGGTTTGGGAGGTCATGGGTCGTGACACCTCGCCAAGATTGATGTTCAAGTGTGAAAGTCTGGGCAGGAGTGTAGTTGCTACTCGAACTCTTCTTATAGTGATTGATGTAAAAACTGACTGCATGGTGTTGCATTAACCAAGTCTCAAGACGCTCATATGCTATCCTTTCTGCAGCCTTATGCTGCTGTGACAAAATTTCAGATGGACAACGCCTGCTCTTGTAACAACAGCTTTCTTGGCAAGATGAGAATGGGACAGCTATGCATGGATGCCTTAGTTGCAAAACTTTAACCCCATCAAACATTTGCGCAGTAAGATGTGATGGTGTGTGTTATTTAGGGTGCAGAAACCACTGAACAGGAACCTGCATGGTTCAATGGATGGAACAGAATCCCACAAGACAGCATTTGTAATTTACAGATGTATAGCTTGACTCAATGAAATGTGAGCTCACCAGTAGCAAAAAAAATGATAACATTCTAAATTCTTAGTTTTGTGATATTTTAGTGGTAGATATACTTTAGGCATTAGTAGAATTATTAATTGCATTTGAAAAAAGTCAGAAAAAAGATTGGTTATGCTTGTTAATGGGAATATCTGGTGGGCATCTTATCTAAAGATGGATGACAAATATGAATGCCGAAGTTACACTGTACAACAGAAATTGCTGAAGCGGACACCAGGGTTACTAATTATCTTCTGAGAGTTAGCAACCAAGTTCAATATTTCAGCCTTGGGTTTTGCAAGACATGTTTATTGTCATCACTTCATATTCTTCTTCGAAATTTTAAAACTACTTGTATTAATTAAGCCCTGTCCTTCTTTTGTAATTTTCTATGTACATTATTATGCTGTAACCAGTTGTGTACCATTCATCACATCTTAGCTGCACATAATCATGCAGTCTATAAAGTATGAAAGTATGGTTTTGTCATGATCAAAACTGAACATTGCAAAAATCAGGTAAAGCATTATAACACTGTTAGCTTTTTACTTTATTTAGTCAGTAGGTACTGTGTATGGTACTGCACTAGTGTGTATATATGGCATATTACTTTAAAGGTGGTGTGAATCCTTCAATGTCTTAAACAAACAAACCAAAAAAAACATGTTTTATTATAACTGTTATGTGGAAACGTACTGCCATTAACTGTGTGGTGGTGTTGCTTGACTCTCCAGTGCTGTCCAGGAAACTGCCCCCCGTGTGATCAGAGTTGTGGCCGTGCCTTGGGCTGCAGGAACCACAAGTGTCCCTCTGTCTGCCATAGAGGTGAGGTCACACAGCTCTACCAGACAGTGGATTAGAGCAGGTGTTTCTGTGTTGTGTTCTGTCATGTCCTTTGTGTGTTGAACATAACATTTCTTAAGTGGTTTTCTTAATAGGCTTTTAACTAGTACTACTTTCTAGATGGAATTTGGAAAACGTAAGATCTTGTCAGGGTTTATATCTTTATCATCTCAATAGTGGGTTAATCAGTCATTTGTTGACCGTCTACCATACATTTGTTTTTGTGTTTTTGAATTTTGTTTTTGTTTGGTGCATAATGTCATAACTATAAACATCATATTTTAGCATTTGTGTCCACATGAATGTCTCCTGTGATAAATCGGATCACACAGCTTTTATTTTCCTCTTTGCATTATGGAAGATTGAGGGTGGTTTGTGTAGCTGGTAGGACTCTGGACTCTTTGGAAGGGTTCTGGTTTTGAAAACTACAAAGTGTGGATCTTTGATTAAATACAACAAATATGAATAAACTACCTATGGGGAAACAAATGGGATTCGGTTCCCCAATTACCTTCTATGTTATGCATCGTTGACATAGTTTATTTGTAACGTTGATTTTGTTCAAGACATTTAATATACATTTTAAAACATTTTGATACAACCCTAAGAAGAAAATTATAGTTAACACACATTAACAAAAGAAATTGTCTAGGATTAACAGAACATGAGGTCATATTCCTTTAGCTCAAGTAGTGCTCTCCTTTGTGCACAAGCAATAGTTAAAACTATTAGTTAAAACAAATAACACTTTGTAATAACTCGCATCTTGCAATAATTTGCATATATGAAAACATCCAGTGTGACAAATATGCAATAATAGAGAAAAGCTTTTGCAAGGTATCAGTGGGGAGAAGAACAGTGATGAAGCCAATTCACTTGATCAATCAATGGCACTTGATCAATCAATGGTAATGGCTGGGGGGGGGGCAGTTGACCAGGATGCTGGGGTAACACTCCTAGTCTTTTTAGAGAAACACCCTGGGATTTTTAATGACCACGGAGAGTCAGGATCAGTTTTACCTCTCATCCGAAGGATGGCTCCTTTTTCAAGTATAGTGTCCCCGTCACTATACTGGGGCATGAGGAGCCACACAGACCGTAGAGTTCCCCATATTGGTAGCGCTAATACCTCTTCCAGCAGCAACTTTATCTTTCCCAGGAGGTCTCCCATTCAGGGAGACATTTTCCATCCATCCTTTTTCTAAGCGCTTCTTCCATTTCAGGGTTGCGGGGGAGATGGAGCCTATTCTGCAAGACTCTGCAAAACAGGACCCAACCTGGACGCTATGCCAGTCCATAACAGGGCACACAGGCATGCAGAGCCAGATTTTCTAGATGTCAGTGTACCTACTGTACCAGTGTGTTTTTGGACTATGGGGAGAAACCAAAGCACAAAGAGGAAACCCGAATGAGCACAGAGAGGGCATACAAACTCCACACAGATAGCACCGCAGGCCCAGGCTCAGAACTGTCCCCTGAGCCCCAGCACTGCAAGCCAGTAATGCTAACCACTGTACCACCGTGCTGTCCAGAAGTGACATTTTATGCTACAAAATATGTAAGAAAGTAAATAACAAGCGACAACCACAGAGTGTTCCTGTGAGTAATTACTTTTTGAATCAATACAATATGTGAGATACGTCTTCTGTCAGTATTTGCAGCACTATCTTGGCTCGCAGGAACTCTACAGTCTTGCTGATTTTTTTACCAATCAGAGATAAAAATTAGCATTTAATTGTTTAATTTATAATTCAACCTTACTGTACCAGTTTGGTTTTTTTGGGGCATATTAATGCAGTGATTGTTATTTCAATAAATGGAACCATTTTAAAAAAAGCTTTGCAGAGACTGTTAGACTGCTGCGATACCAGATGAGGCCTGATGAAAATCTCTTGGGCTGATGCCAGTCAGCCACCATTATTTACTAATTAGGTTCAATGGAGGATAAGACTGCATGATGAGTTCAGTGGGGCTTGAGGTTAGATGACGAATGTGGTCTTGAGTTTCCTTATAAAAAGAAAAATGTTGTATTAGAAATTCTTGATTACTGTGGGCATAGTAATTTCTAAAATCGATTGTTTAACACAAGAAAGAAAGGATTGTTACATGACCTTTAGTTGATCTTTTTCCATTTTAAGTATGGATTTTGACGAAGTATCCTTAATGTTTTGATTAGTATAATCCATGTACAGTATATTGTAATCAAAGCAGGATTCCTAATTGTGTCAAAATATTGCAAACCTAAAATTAAAAGTATTATTTATATGGAATATGCAGGGATATTTAAATTGGTAATTAACTTTTTTGTGCTTGATGGGCTAAATGCTCTCTTCTTGAAAAAAAGTTTTTTTCTACTTTTTCAGTTTTGAAATACTTTGTTTACTTAATACTTTGGAATAAAAGGGCCAAAAAAACTGGAAAGTAGCAGGAGAAAGATAGGTATTTAAATAGAGCAGTTTTTCTGTCTAATCAGTAAGACCCTTTCTGGCTCCCCAATGGTCGTTGATGGAAAAAAAGTGTTAAGATGTGCATGCCTTTCTGGGTTTTCTATTATCGTGCTGATGAAAGATAAAGAACAGGTAAAGTGATTTCTTTAATAATTCATGTTTCATTTGATATTTAATTTGCTGACCTTTAGAGATGCTTTTTTGAACACACTGGAGATACCCGCACAGAAGTTAAAAGGTTTTTCAGTAGTTAGAACGATAGGTTATCAGCTATTCTTTTTTCCCTTTACAAAGTCTGGGCAGTTTTTAAAGGGCATATTGCTGAAGGAAAAAAAAACATTCAAATTACATCTGCTCCAAATGTCACCCTGGCATGAAAAACAATCTTTTAACGAAAGCTCTTTTGAGATTAGTGTTCCTATTAGCAAAAATTGATACTATGGCATACATTTTTTCAGGTCGTTAATGTCTTTGCAGATGACTTAGGAAGTTTAGTTGGTGCTTTCATAAAGAGGAGTGTCTCAGGCATAGATATTGCTATTCTCTTTGCTTTCTTGTGCAACTCAATATATTACCTTTAATGATATGAACAGCATACTTAATAATATTCAAAATTCATGCACAGCAAGCCAGTATTAGCTCCTGCTTAGAATAAGAAAATAAAAGACCTGTGCTGGTATAAAGTCTGTTTCATTACACTGATAAGTTGTACTTGAGGCATGTTTATAAGTTTTGTATGTTAGGAGTGGATAAATGCAAAAATATCCCCGAACAATTCAATTTAATCATTCCGCATTTAAGAAGAAATAATTTTTGAGCCAGAACTGAGAATTAGATCTACTATAGTTTGTGGTAAGAATATCTATTACTTATTCAATTAAATAAAGTAAGTGCACAATGTTGATGTGTGTACTGCATATCCATTCTAGGTGTAATGTTATTTAACCACAACACACACCCTGTAATGTGTGATTTATTTTAAAAATATCCATACAGCATTGTTGCTTTTTTGGAATATGTTTTCAGCTGCACGTCAATAACATTAATTTAATCAATAGGAAAAATGACCAACACAGCTTGTTAATGAATTGTCAGTTTGTGTTGTTTTTAAGATTGTAAATTCAAATGTTATAAAAGCCCAGATAAGTTCCCTATGTACTTCAATCCCTACATAGCAGATGGTAATTGGTTACTCTGTCCTGAGAAGCATGGTGTTTGTGAAGGTCTGGGTCAGACAGCAGGAGCCTTTTGGGCTATAAAATGGAACCTGTCTTTGTGAGATACTTAAAGGGGAACTGCAATGCTCTTTTTATATTTTCAGAGTTAGAAAGAATCAGCATTGATGAGTGCAGTTCACACCACAAATAAAGTCCAATGTACACAGTAACATGTACAATATCCAGTTTACATCACAGAATAGATAACATTTCCAGGTATGCACAGTACCATGCTGCCGTCATTGTCTGCGATTCAGAATGAAGTAACACAACATCAGGGAAGGTGAAGTGGCCCTTTTACATTGTAAGCAAACAGACTTGTGAATACATCTCTTTTTATTCAGTAAAGAAATATTGCTCTCGACTTCAAGCCAGTTTTGCTAACAGATATTACTTGGTTGGTAACTCTGCATGCATTTCACATGTTCCATTCTGCGGTGAAATGTCTGCTGCACAACCCGTATTTATTCGCTCATACATCACATTCCATTAGTCATTACAGTGACTAGTGAGCAGGAAGGGCAGCTTTATATCTAAGTTCTCGGTCTAAAGCATTCTGATGCTCACAGATTCCAAAAGCTCCTTTCAGAGTTTGACTATACACAGAAATTACTCGTAGCTGTAGTGAAAAATGAAAGCCACACTTTCCTCAAATGATGTTGGGCCTCTTACTCTTTTTGATTCTGTTTATGGTCATACTGAAGACAAGAACTACAGATTGCAATCTTTGCCCACAGTTTCTGTGGCTATATTAATATTGCCCTAATTTGGAATTGCTAGTTGTTAACTGTATTGGCTTCATTGTTAAAAACCTTTAACCATTACAGGGGTGGTTGAAGACAGTCAAGGGTTGCCTTCAAAGTATGAACCATCTGCCATTTCTCAAGCTGTGAGGTCAATGCACATCAGTTGGGGGAGTGATGTTGCATTCATTAGCAATACTGCCAGCCCACAGGCAACACACAAGTGTTGCTGTTAGATGGCGAGCCAAAGAAATCCTGGATGACTTAAACCCACTGTTCTTGGTCTGTAATGCTCTACCAATCCCAGTTACAGGCAGTCCAGATGCCAGCCAGCAGTGTCTTCATTGAAAGCCTCTGCTTATGCTCTGATCAATTTCCTTTGCTGGTTAAAATGCTTGCAGATGCCTTATTAATATCTTTAGACTAAATCCTGGCACTAGCTGGGGTAGATCTTTACAAAGATGGTTTGAGATTGCAGTCTGGCAAATGTGTGAAATTAACTGGTAGTCTTGTTGACTCCCCCAGAAACAACAAGACTTCCTATAAAACAAAATGTGTTCATTGTTGCTGTACACAAGTGTACACAACAGTTTATGTTCGTAAGCTATTAATCACTGCAGGTTTGAAGAATGCCTTTGATTTAATTAGGCTGCCTTGAAGTTTACAAAGCTATGGAAAAGATGCATATTTGTCAGAGTCCATTGGAGTTGTGGACTGATTTGGGTATCTTGTCCTATGTAGGCAGCTGCTATCCATGTCCAGAAACTGTCGATGTGAAGTGTCAGTGTGGAGCTACTGTTCTAGCTGTGCCGTGTGGCAGGGAGAGGGCAACCAAACCACCCAGGTGTAAGGAGATCTGCAGGTCAGTATATTCTGTATCTGCTTTCTACATTTCACATTTCTTATTGTGTGTTGCTGAAGGTGTTGTTTTCCTGTAGCATTTTTTTTTCTTTAAAATGTGTGAAAGATGTTGTGGACCTGAAAATGGTGGCAGTTGTAGTGCTTGGGGTCGTATATTGAAACCGGAATTATATCATTTTCATTGCTGGCAGAACTCACTAAGGGATATGTTTAGACATTCCTACTCTTAAGGATCCTGTGGGACCATTTAGTCACAGATAAGAACTTTAATTTAATGTCTTGTCTGATGATTATTATTGGCTCATTAGAAATACAGAGTTTTCGAAGAAAGAGTGCTATCTATTGGTTACTTCAATTGAATTTGAATTAACCTGAATTAATTTTAAAATAATATTTTTGGCGATACCGTACACCCCTGTGCCTGAGCCTATATGGTCCCATACTGCAGGAGCAGTTAAGAGTTCAACTGACATAACAGTTATGTAAAATACTATTGTTAATTTCCTGGGCATTGCTTTGTTTCATCGTGCTTGAATACCCAAGCACTTTTTGCTGAAGGTTGTTGTGCCCTTGATTGTCATATCTGCTTATTATTGAAGACATCAAGACGTAGGAGTTTGTTTTACAAGGACAGACCTTGTTAGCATGGGGTTGGCAGAGATGTGTAATTAAAATACAGCAGGTTACATACTTTGGGTTGTATCCAAGGTTTCAGGGTATAAATGTGACTATTTCCAGTGGTATTCCTGGATACCAGAAGAAAGAACGTGGACAAAAATCACTGGAAATGTCACAAGTACTATTAATAGTGCCCTGTGTCTCATTTATGTAGGAATCCACCGACATGTCATCACGCCAGTCGAGAGAGACATCGCTGCCACTTTGGCACCTGTCCTCCGTGCCAACAGGCATGTCAGCGAGTTCTGAGTAAATGCGGGCATGTCTGTCCAGCCCCATGCCATGATGAAGTGATGCTCAAGAAGACTGTGAAAGTAAGGGGAAGGCAGAACTGCTCTTCAGATTACTGAATGTGTGACTGCTATAGTGAATAAGTTAAAAATCACCCTAGAAAATACCTTACCTGTGCAGTAGGAAAACACATTTTAAAAACTATTCAATTAAAAATGTGCAATATTGTGCTTGATAGAAATTTAACTGTCAACTTCATATCAAGTAGTAGAACATTGAAATGAAATTTAGACCTACCTGCAGTGTGTTGTGAGGCAAATACTACCAGTGTTGACTGGAAGATATAGATTTTGCATAATTTCTGTGTGAATGGGTTTTTCTTCATCCTGCCACAGACTCAAACATATGTGAACAGGGACAATTCGAGTCATATAACTTGGTTTTATAAAAGACAAAAATTAACAACATAAAGACATGGGTGAAGAAGTCTGACAAAGCAGTCTTTGTGAGCAAAAAAAGTTTTTTTTTTTCACCAAAAACATAGACAGTATAGCACAATGAAATAAGGTAATTAACATAATAAGTGAAACTGTAATTTAAAATGAAGACTTTTCTTTTAATTCCCTTTACCAAATTAAAGATTTGAAAAGGCTACACTAAGGATAATTTGACGGCAACCATTGAAATTAATGATGTTTTAATGCAAGGACCTGAAATGAAGGAATTAAACATGCATAAAAAGAATTATAATTTCGAAAACGCTAAAGCTAAAAAACAGTACTTCTTTCTAATTAATTATCTAATAACCATAGAAAGTGTTGTAGAAGGAAAAAATAATAAGCATGTAACAAGTCGCCCAAGTGGCAGCATGACTTACTCAGTTCTCCATACTGCAGTTTCAAACTTCTTCTCTATACGAGAGTAAAAATCTCAACCTGTTTCTGTTTTTGTGTTGGGGTGCTAGCCTCAGCTTGCAGGTCCATGGGAGCAGCCCCCCGAGCCAGTCTTCGTTCAGACGGCCTTACCGTGTCCCCCCTGTCAAGTCCCTATACCGCAGTACGTATATTTTAGCTTTCTCGTGTTTTAAGTGATTTATTTAATTAATCGCTCCAAGGTGTTTCACTTTTCACATCTGGTGGGGAAAACTATCTAAGATGAAAGTCCAAGGCTTCATTTATGTCTAATGATAGGAGAGCTAGAAAATCAATTTTGGTAGCTGTAGGGTTGATCAGAACATGGCAGTACATGCGTTTAGACAGGATTTAGCCTTTTAATTTTTTGCTAAATATCCCTGGTAGTGTGGCTTTATATGAATGAGTCACACTGTAGAAGTAAGCAGAGGTTCTCTTATATGCTAAGTATCCAGTACTACATCAGCAGATTAAAGTATTAAGACAAATAATGCTGTGTATATTTAATGCGTACTTTGTAGTACAAGGATTCTAAAGTAGGCAGTCGTTTATGTTACAAAGGAACAAGTGAAGGTTTATTCCATGTTGAAATGCGAAACAAAAGGTGTCTCACACTTGAAGAAAGCTCCACAGCCAAACCATTGTGTTTCTTTTCCTTTCAGCATGAAATCAACCTCGAACTGTTCCTTTGCAGCCTATGCATGCTGACTTGGTATTCTTTTATGTTAGTTGCAAACAAAGCCAATAGTAACAGTCATACAGTAGGTTAGTGTTTAGTTAGCAAAATATTTGAGGATCATGCTGCGATTTCAGGTAGCGTTAATGACTGTTTTTGATCTGCTCATACAAGACATCTTCCGTTATACTATACAAACTTGCTTGGACAGCAAAATCTTTTCTCACATCTTATATGTTAAAAGAAAAACAAATATTGTTTTTTTGGTGGGATGTGCAGCTTTAGCATGGACATCATATTAACTTTTAATTTAGTAGAAGTGTGATTACTGGTTCATTATCAAGAATGATTTTGATCATTTGGTTGTAGCCATAGCTAACCTAATTGTAAATTGTCTGGCATGTTATCCATTTGAAGGGAATGTATTGACTTTTGTTTATGCCATGAAAAATAAACACTATTACTAAAATTGCTTTTGTGATCACAACCTTTATAAAGACACTTGAAAAGGGACTGAAAGCTATAAAAAAGATGTGCTAATAAGCTTATTTTATTTTATATTTATATTTTAGCTTTGGATCTTGAGCATTTTGTTGAAACTAATGTTGAAATGTCCTGTCTGAATTTTTACTTTCTTTGTTTGCTCTTCACAGGGCTTGTCTTGGAAACCATGAGGTAAGTGAAAAGGACTCCCTTCTGTGATGCCAGCCATGGTTCTAAATTAGGATTGGAGTCAGTAGCAATATAGAGTTCCCACTTAAGATTTTGCCACAATTAAAGAAAATGAGTGAACAGGCATGATTCTGTTGAGATCAGGATTGGCATAATCAAGGTGAAAGCAAGGAAAAAGTTTCTTGAAAACTTGAATAAAGATTTGTCAGGATGGTATCCAGTTATTTTACATGTGTCATGTTTGAGTATTGATTTGATTTAACATGTGCAGATTTGACAATTCAGCGTCATTGCCTATAATTTAGAAGAAGACTGGAAATGTATTGTAGTTATTTAATTTTCTTTAAATGAATTTCATTGCAATATATAGAGTGATATTGTGAGATTTTATAACCAAATTGTTAGTTGGTTAATTCTGGTTCACCTTTGAATATCATGGGATCCTAAAAATGCAGTACCTAATTATGACTCTAGTCTGTTCACTGTATAAAGCCTTTTGGACTGAGAGCTTTTCATAGCATCATAGCAGGTTTCGTTTCACACATTAGGGGAGGAGAATTATATTTTTGTTTTTTGTTACTATTAAAATAGTATAATTTCCATTTATGGAACATCCCCATTTAGTTCATACACCTGTAATTAGGGTCACAAACCTTTGGAAAACGTTTTTAAAATGAATCCCTTTGAGTTTAATTAATCCGCGAGTTACAAACATCAATGGTCTGAGGCCTAAAGATCTGTAAGCTAAAAACAATCTCCTGCAAAGTTATTTTTGATAGTGACTTAAAATCATTTTGAAATTTGCATTTTCTAGTGAATAGATTCCAACACTTAAAAAATTCTCACCCTAAACCCTGATATAAGGTAAGCAACCATCCGACCTACATTCTTCCAGTTTATGTGGAATGACATTTAAAATTACACTCCTAAAATACCTAAGCAATGTGCACTGATCAAGGGGATTATACATGGGCCGGATGATTTGACATCGTCCCTGTGGAATAACATATGACATACAGAAGAGTACCTGTTCTGAATGTCTTATGTTGTGAACCAAAAATCTAGTGCTATTGTGTAAGCAAGAAAATACTAAACATTTTTCCCCTTCATCAAACCAAAGTCCTTTCTGTATGTTGAAATGGGGCATTTGCTTGGCAAACTGTAACTGCTCTATGGTTTCTTGCTGATTGTTAAAGTTTTTATATACTGTACCAAGGTTTGTGTTCTGAGGCTGTCCTCAGGCAAAAATGAGAAAGTGCTTTTCTGTAGTAATTGAAACAAAAGGTTAGTCCTTAGCGACCTTTTATGAAGAGAGAGAAAATAAAATGCTTTGCAAAGTTGCTTCCTATTAGTGTCTCGGATACTTAATATATTTTAAGGCTTGGCACCACAAAACGCTAATTTTCCAATTATCAATTTAATTTTAAGAACAGGTTATTAAGTGAGCAGTTCAAAACTATTTCAGTTTGTTCCTATTGTTGCCCTTTCCTGTGCTGTAGCCTTTAAATATGCAGATATGGAATTGTAACTGCGATTTTCCTGTAAATAGGAAGGAACACGCAGTCTCCATTTGTTTCATGTGCTCCCAATCAGTTTATAATAGAGTCTGAAAGGTAAAGTGCAGTGTGCCTTACACATCCTGTTGATAAGAGAAAGGTCACTGATTCGGTTTTGCTACTACACTTGTATGGGAAGATAACAGTGGTTGGTTTATTTTTTTCTTTAGAATGTCAGCTCTTCATGAATGTTTGTCTAGATGAGGTGTTTGCTTTTTATTTAGTTGTATATCAAGTCTCTAAGGACCTCACAAGTGAACAGTGTAATTTTACAGAGTCTGGTGCTGTTATGGTAGCCTCTGCTAACAGAGCCTATTGTTGTTGCAGCTGCTTATAGGCCTTATAGTTTAACGCAATAAATCAGCCAAGTCATCGTATTCGTGATTTTTTAACTAAACCTGGATTAAATGGTTCGTACAGTTAACTTGCACATAAAAGAGCTTTCAGAAAGAAGCCCTTTCTGGAATGTTTGCTAGAAATGGTAAATCAGATTTTGCCCACTTAGTGCAGGCTGGAGTTTTTAAGTTCTGTTTAACAGTGGAGTAATAACTCCATGTGGCCAATGGAACGATTCTAGCTCTTAATGATTGATTCTACCCATGACAAAAGGACAGAGAATTGTGAAATTTGATCAAGTCAAGAGGAGAGGAAAAGCATCCAAGGAACATGTTGAGGGTTGGATTGTTTTGTTAAAGATAACTGATGAAGAGAGACTCTTAATAACCATAAATACACTGTATATAAAAGTCAGTTGTAAAGATTTTTGGCCTAAACCATAGTCTGTGTAAAAGCCTCTGCTTATCTGTACTTAATTTGTCAGAACTCGGTAGAGTTGAGCACTGGTACTCAGGAACCTCAAAGAGCAGCACAGGCTTATTTGGAATATGGAATATTTGACAGGCATATTTAGAATCTAATACAGAACAGAATGCAGAGAACCATGATTTGCTGCTCACACTGCCAGTGTGGATAACAGAATTGACTACAGTGGGCATCTAAGAGGACCTTGGATGCAGATCAACAAAATTCAGTCTAAATGCTTTAAAAATTATTTTAGTCAAGATTAGCTTTTTTTAATTGTGAATTTGCAACTTGTCGACTTGCATACTTGTCAAATATACCTTTTCCAGTAAAACTAATTTCAAAATCAGATGGAAATGTTTCAGAAATATAGTAGGCCTAATAGCATGCTTTTTTATATTTGGCATTCCAAATTATTTTTTAAGATACCTTGTTACAGACAGTGGTAATTAAAAATTGAGTTTAGAGTGCATCATGCTGATGTTATGCACTTGTCATGGTTAAGCACACCGGTATCTTCTTTGTCTCTTGTCTGTCCACTCACTCCCACTTGCATTGAGCTCCAGCACTTCAAGATTTACAAATTAAGCATTGTGAACATTTTAAGAAATCCTGATTTCCACTGATGATATAACAGTGCCTTTTGATTTAAAAAAAGGGGTCACGTTTTTTCTACAGCTATACAGTGAACACAAGTCAGTTAACCTAGTTCATTTAATTACTCACCAGTTAAATATTACACACTGTGATCTAGAATTATCTAATTATAGGTTTTAATTCTTACATATCATGAATATGCACATATCCTTTTCAGAATCAGGTTTGCAGATGAATCCTTTTTTTCTGATATTTTATCAGAGACTATCTGGCACACTGACACAGTATAACTTCTTGACTTTTGTGTGTGTGCACATTAGAAACATATCTTTAATATCAAATTTACATGCACAGTTGCTGTGGATCTCGAACATTTTTTCCTGCCTTTATTTTCTCTTTGTTTTGCAGAATTTCAAGGATAATGATCATTTCTCATTACAAAAATATTCTCCCTTTTTTATCCAGGCAGTTTGATTTGAAGAACAGTCCAATTGATCATGCATTTTCTCATTTAGGTATTTAGCTCAACAAAAGAAATGTTTTTCAATAGGCCTGAGCCAAAGGTGTCCCCAAAGCCCTGTAGATTTTTTATTACTGGATTGACAAGCTCACAGTGGCGTTGGGAGCAAATAGACTGCAATCACATTTGGTATTTTCTTTTGCTTTTCAAACACTCACTGGGTACATTAAATTGCTTACTTTTTGCTGTAAAAACATTTTCACATAGTATAATCATGGTAATTGTATCTCAGTTGGGTTGCTATGAGGCCAAAATGCTTTTATAGCTAATAAAGAGCAGGGGAGTTTGTGCTTTACTTGGGAGGGACATTCATTAATCAAAGGGCTGAAACA